TGGATGATGCACCTGAACATTGTCCCCTTCCCTGGAAAAAGTTGAGTTCCCTTGGGTCTGGTGGAAAAGGCCATGCCCACACCCACACACACACACAAAATAAACAAGGTGGTTTCGTTTGGATCTGGTGGACAAGAGCATGTGTTTTACGTGGCCGAAATCTGTTCAGACATGACAAACCGTTTCTCAGGCCCTGCCTCCACACCTCTCCTCATCGAGCTCGGGCTGGCACAGCGAGCGAGCGGGCATAAGGGGAGGGGAGGTTTCCTCCATTTGTTTAATTTAAGTCCCCCAGAAAAGATCAACAAAATCCAGAAGTGAATTGATTCCCTTTATAACCAGCAGAGGAAAGAAACAACTTGGCCAAGTGGAAGATTCGTGCTGGTAAGTCATGCGCTTGTCTCTGGTAGCAACCAAAAGAAAGTCTTTTGCAGCCCCCCAACTGACAAAGAACAGAACCAAACACGTACAATAACAACACACATCAACATAATTGTGATGAAGGCAAAAGGGACGATGGAATTCGAGTTGAACCCAGAAATCTCCCCCTCCCTCCAATTTCAGTTTCAATGGGCCAACAAAACTCACGCAGGAAGGATGTCACTCCTCCATTTGCTTAAGTCCCCGGACAAAAACAAACGTCCAGTAGTGATAGATTCCCTTTGAAACCAACAGCCAGAAACAAGACACATGTTTTGAGCAAATGGAAGCATTCAGCGGGCTGGCATGCACCCAAACGATTTCCGCAGGGCGAAGCAAACCCAACGCCTCGACTGTCGATGACGAGGAGGCCGCGCTCGGCAAATCCTCCAACTTCTCCTTCCAGGGTTCTTTTGGGGGTACTGGTACCCTTTTGCTTTGTTTTGCAAAGGAAAACCAAAAAGAAGCCAGACATTTTTGGGGGTGCCTGAACTGACATTTGGAGTTGGTTGGTCTTTAAAGGCAAACCAACGGCAAATACCGAAACCACTTTTGGGGGGTCCCCTAAAAACACACACCCTTTTGGGATTGGCCAAAACGCGAGAACCGTTTCCTCCATTTGCTTAAGTCCCCTGCAAGAACATATGATATTTCCGGTACTGATACCAAGAGGGGGAAATGGAAGGGGACCCTCCGGGGAAATACACATCTTCTGAAGCAAAAATGGAAGGGGGCCCTCCATTGCGGGGGTGAAGAAACGGAGGCGAACCCCAAGCCCCGCTCCTCGTCACCTTCCCTGGGCTCGGGGCTTTCCTGAGCAAATTACAAAGGCGGGCGGATGGATAGAAACTCATCCTAGCTGTGGACTTTTTTGAGGGTGCCCTATTTTTGGGGTCGTTCTGAAACCAGACGGAGGCCCATTTCATTTCGCAGGGGTCCCCCATGTAGAGACTGACCCGCCTCAGCTCTTGCCCCTGACCAAACAAGTATTGTGGTCCATACTTACCTAGGTCCTCCAGTGGAGATGTTAGAATAAGGCTACCCTTTTTTCTGTAGTCTATTTTACTGGCGGAACCCTCCCAACCAAAAAAGGGGTGAGAAGGGGCACTACTGGGGGATCTAGTTACTGAATGAACCTTCAAACATGGAACAATTTCAAAAAGGAATCACCCCGCCCCGCGAGAAGTACCAAATCGCTTTGTTACGAAGTCAACTTACAACCAACGAGATACATTATCAGTGGAAACCTGATTTTCTCAAAATCATCATTCCCCAAAGATGCGTGGGGTACTCGAAGCAGGGGCCCCAAGACCGGGCCGGTGGTCCGCTTTTGACGGCTCAAGCCAGTTGGTTTCCCATTCTCATCTGGGCTGCCCTCAGATCCCCCGCTAAAGTTTAACTCTTAGTGGTTTAAATGGGAAGCTACCACTAAACACTAAGAAGCCAAAAAGCTAAGGAGCCGGATGGCGGGGAGCCACCAAGTCATCGTTGGCCTTTTGCGGCCCCTTTCTCCCGTTTCCTTCAGGTGCAAAGCGGCTTCAGCTCCGAGTGTTCTTGGCAGGGCTCCATTTTAGAATGCTCCCAACGGCTTGAACCCGGCTCAACCACTGGCAGAAATCAACCACTGCTCGGATGTTCGATTCGCCAAGTTTGTAAGTGGGATCGCATCGCAACCTGGGGTATGAGCTTTTTGTGAGTGAGTTGGGCCGGTTAGTAGATTGCCCAGGTTTCCAACGTGGCCGAGCCAAGTAAAATGAGTCATAATCAAAACCTGTCTACCCAGAACCATGTAAAGAATTTTGAAGGCAGCCGAAGCTATTTATGGTTGGGATTGTCCCTCTCAATTGGATACTTGCATCCACAATGGGCAGAACTGGAGGCCGAAGCTCAAGTGTGCAAAGGTTTCGGCTTGCGTAGGCTTGCAATGACTCTGTTTCCTTGCTCCACAGTCCCCAAGCAATAACTTATGGGTTAAATGGAAACCCAACCACTAAACCGGCTAAAAACAACGTAAAACCCCAAGTTGAACCGCACTTCAGTGACCAAGCCAACTAATTAAGAACAACGAGACACCCAACCACCAAACCAGCCCAAAAAACCAACCAAAGCTGAACCGCACTTCAGTGACCAAGCCAACTGAAAACAACGAGACACCCAACCACCAACAAAAGCCAGCCTAAAACCAAAAAACAACTAGCTTGAACCGCATGGCGCTGTGAAGCGGTTCCAAGTCTGAGGTTCAGGCGGTCATGGCGCACTGTACAGCCTCTGGCCACAGCCCCTGGGCCCCCCTGGAGCTTCCCCTCGAGCCAGAAGTGTTGTTCCGCGGCGAGGATTGTCGTTGTTTTACGGCAAAACTCTTTGAATGAGGGCAAGCAACCCGTAAAACAAGTCACCCCGAATGTCGGTCAGACACGCGCTGCGGTGTGCCTAAGGGACAATTCCAAAGTTTGGGGCTCTTCGGCGCCTGACGGTTTCTCAAAGATGGACCTTTGATGAAATGAAGGGGACACCAAAAGGAATTCAACGCAGTTGCTCAGTGGCCCTGGAAAAAAAGGGAACTCTTTTTGGGGAACACCACTTTTACTGGGGCAGCCACCAAACAAGAAAACACGGGAAAAAGGGTGTCACGGAACAACTGAGAAGCGATGCCGAACCGAAGCTGCTGTTGGACCATGCCCGAGGTTGGAACATGCGGGTGGACCTTCGAAGCTTTGGTTGGACCATAGCCGGCGAGGTGAAGAGAGAGAATGCCAAACCGAAGCTTCGGATAGACCATGCGGCAAGGTGAAGAGAGAGAGAGAGAGAGAGAGAAAACAGCTGGATAATATTGTCATGATCAAAGTAACCCCCGAAGTGGTAGGGAAAAAGGGAAAAGGAAACAAAACAACAAGCGCTCCGAGCGATGCCTTCAAAGCTTCGGTTTGAAAGCCCGGCGAGGTGAAGCGAGAGAACAGCTGACAGGGGGCAAGTGGAGTCGGCCAACATGTCGTGTTTAGGTGGGTGGGTTATGGTGTGTTTAGGTGCCATAAGCCCAGGCGAGCGGGCGAAGGCCAAAAGGCCTGGAACCAAATAGCTAGCCCAAACCACCCCGAACGAGCTCTGGGCAGAGACCAAATCCAGAGCTTCCACCGGTTGGGCAAAAAAAGTCGAGGTTGGCATGCCATGGAAGGATGCCTTCACTTGTCAAGTTCCCTCAAACACCCGAGCTTTCCGGCTTTTCGAGAACAGCTCCGAGTGGCAGGCTCCAAGTAGAACGAATTTGAGGGGAAGAATGTGTGATGTCGATCACTCAAGGTGACAACAAAGCAAACTGCATCTAAGATCCAAGAAGGTGCAACCATGTTGCCATGTTTCGCCTGGACGTGGAATGTCAAGAATTGCCAAGCCCAGAATAGGTGGCGCAAGGACATGTTTGATGCTTGAGGAAAAGGCTGGCAAAGGCGCATCTCTATTAGAGGATTTCAATGATATCCAAATCTGGACAGTTCCCATCAGAATAGACAATTTTTGAAGGTGTGTTTGGGGGCTTGGTAGAAAAAGTTCTATCAAAGTATGGGAAAGGGGGTCACTGGGTTGGATGCCCGGTTCGCATGTCCCACAACTGATTTTTTGGGGCAATTTGGAGCGGGCTCCCTGTGCGTATGTCTAATAAAAGGGCTTAGATGAAAATGGATGGCAAAAGCTGCCCATTTCTGGGCTGCCGTCGGATCCCCCGCTAAAAGTTCAACTTTTAGTGGGGTAAGTGGAAACTGCCACTAAACCCTAACAAGCTAAAACGCTTCGGGGATGGCTGGGAGCCACCAAGATTCTGTTCATGTCCTTTTTAAGGACATAGAAGGGAATAGTGCCATTGCAAGCGCTTCGTTGTTTCTCCCACGAAAGCCCTCAACGTGGCCCCTGTCAAAGGTCGGTTTTGGGGAAGCGGGGCGTCTGGGTTGGGTCCTGCTGTCTCCAAGAATATCTGACAAACGCAGCAAACTTGTTTGATCGCGGTCACCCTTTCGGAGAATTCATGGCCCTGTACTTGAACCACTCTATTGGTCAACCAGGGCCCTCTTGTCAACCAAACCATCCACAAAGGACACCTATGCCGGCCTTTAGCTCTCTTCCTGTTCCCTCCAAAAAAAGACCATCAAGCTGGAAGAAGCAAACGAAACGTACGTAGCCTCAAGACCAAACACCTCAAGGCTGATGCACAACCGTAGGCAACCCACATTGCTTTCCATGGTACATATCTTAAGCTCGCTTCCTGAGTGGATCAGCCAACACCACCCACTAAACCGGTCCTTGCCGAACAGAATGAAGTTGAAGAACTCAGGGAGTGAGTAGATTCACTTCATTCACTCAGTTGTTCAGCGACCCTGGAAAAAAGGGAACCCTGTTTGGGGAAGACCATGTTTAGTGAGGCAGCCACCAAAAAAAGGAAAAAGGGTGCCACTGAACAACTGAGTTCACCCAAGTGATCCAAAGTGGGTACTGGGAGAAATGCCGGGCTTGGCTTAACCCAGGGCAAGCACATCACCAGCGGCGGGCGAAAAAGGAAGAAAAAAACAGAAAAGAAAAAAACGAGAACCAGCCTGTGCCATCGTCCTCCCAGTCAAAGTCACGAATGCCTTCCCTTGCCTCGGTGTTCTCTCTTTATTTTCTCTGTTTGTTCTTGTTGTTTTCTTCTTTTTTCCCTGCATGTTTCTTTGCTTGTATTTGCTTTTGTGCTTCTTTTTTTTTTTACATTTTTTTTCTTTATTCCTATTTTTATTAGCAGGAGAGAGGACCATGGGTAACGACCCCCAAGTAACCATGGGTAAGCGTTTCTATGTGGAGAGTCATCTTTTCTGGTCCACTGGTAGTTTCCCTGATGGCCATCCCATGTAAAAAGCGGACGTTTTTGATCAACCCCCAGTTTCCGAGCTTCAGAGAGGGCCGATCGATCCAGGCGCTCCAAAAAAGCCACTCGGCTCTGAACCCAACAGCTCAAACTGAAAGGACCCGAAGCGGTCGAAGCGGAAGCCTCGTCTGTCCGTCCCGTCTGTGTCTGCGTGTTTTCGCTTGCTCGTGCCTGTTCTCTTCGGGGGGGAGGTCTGGTCTCGTAGAAGGAATCCTGCACGTGAAAACAAGGGCCCATTCATGTGGCACGGTTCGGACGCAACATTAAAACAAAGAGAACCGCCTCTCCTTTCAGGTGTTAGCATTCGGGGGATTTGTGCCATACCTTCAAGTTCAATTGGAGCTTGCCAAGGTCATCTGAAATCAACTCTGCACCATCTGGTTTTTCTTCTGGGCCCTTGGAAGTCAATCTCTTCAATTACGCCCCAAACATACACCTTGGTTGCGGAAAGTTGTGGGTCCAATTCGGAAAATCCGAGCTGTTTCCCAAAAAGTAAAGCAGCAAACGTCCGACCAGATTTCCATAAGCTCAACCCAGGCGCGCAAAACTGAACAGCCACACCGCAGCCGCACGGCTCAAAACACACACACACACACACTTGATATGAGACGGCAAACTGCGAATGTGCACCCCGAAACGTAGGAGGACGCAAGCACGGAATCAGGTTGGAGCTTCGGCATGCTTATCCTGAAACAATTTCGCTCGTGAGAGGCGTCCTCATCAGGGGTGCCATCGCCACTCTCGAGGTACTTTTGAATCAGCAATCCGCATGGTGGCACCCGACTCCAAAAAGGAGAAAAAGCACGACCGCAAAACCCCTTAGGAACAGGGGGGCCACACACACACCCCCCGCAGGGGGAAGAAAAACCGAAACGCCTAAAAGCCGCCTCCATCATGATTGCCGATGGGTAAGTAATTTGGACTGTTGGCAGAACTCCTGCCTATGCTTAATTGCTCACGGTCATTTTGACATGTAGCATCACCGTCTGGGTTCAGGTGCATTGGTTCGAGATGGTCGCTTTCTGGTGCTGCTCCTTCAACTTTCTGAGACGTTCCAGGCTCCTCCAGCGCTGCGTGACACCCGCAATGGACCGGTTGAGCTTCTTGGCCAGCGATTTGTACGAGTACTTGGACCAGTTGTCCGCTTTCAGGCTGCAAAGCTGCTGGTCATCTTCCTCTGTCCAGGCGCGAGGTACTTCCGGGGGGAGTTCCTGGATTGCCGGCATCGAATCGATCCCTTGCTCACTAAGGAGATGGGGGCCCCCCATTTGACTGCAATGGTTTTCAACTGCTCCACCGTGCCGTCCAGGAAGTTGACGAAGAGGTCGCGGTACAAGAAGTCCAGGAAGCAATACTGAGAAGCCATCACAAGATGCCCAGGAAGCAGTTGAAGAAGTTGCCGTGCACAAGTGTCAGGAAGTAGCCAGAGAAATACCGTGCCGTCCAGGAAGTTGCCGAAGAGGTCGCGGTACAAGAAGTCCAGGAAGCAATACAAGATGCCCAGGAAGCAGTTGAAGAAGTTGCCGTGCACAAGTGTCAGGAAGTAGCCAGAGAAATACCGTGCCGTCCAGGAAGTTGCCGAAGAGGTCGCGGTACAAGAAGTCCAGGAAGCAATACAAGATGCCCAGGAAGCAGTTGAAGAAGTTGCCGTGCACAAGTGTCAGGAAGTAGCCAGAGAAATACCGTGCCGTCCAGGAAGTCGCCGAAGAGGTCGCGGCACAAGAAGTCCAGGAAGCAATACAAGATGCCCAGGAAGCAGTTGAAGAAGTTGCCGTGCGCAAGTGTCAGGAAGTAGCCAGAGAAATACCGTGCCGTCCAGGAAGTTGCCGAAGAGGTCGCGGTACAAGAAGTCCAGGAAGCAATACAAGATGCCCAGGAAGCAGTTGAAGAAGCTGCCGTGCACAAGTGTCAAAAAGTAGCCAGAGAAATACCGTGCCGTCCAGGAAGTTGCCTAAGAGGTCGCGGTACAAGAAGTCCAGGAAGCAATACAAGATGCCCAGGATCCAGTTGAAGAAGTTGCCGTGCACAAGTGTCAGGAAGTAGCCAGAGAAATACCGTGCTGTCCAGGAAGTTGCCGAAGAGGTCGCGGTACAAGAAGTCACGGAAGCAATACAAGATGCACAGGAAGCAGTTGAAGAAGTTGCCGTGCACAAGTGTGAGGAAGTAGCCAGAGAAATGCCGTGCCGTCCAGGAAGTTGCCGAAGAGGTCGCGGTACAAGAAGTCCAGGAAGCAATACAAGATGCCCAGGAAGCAGTTGCCGTGCACAAGTGTCAGGAAGTAGCCAGAGAAATACCGTGCCGTCCAGGAAGTTGCCGAAGAGGTCGCGGTACAAGAAGTCCAGGAAGCAATACAAGATGCCCAGGAAGCAGTTGAAGAAGTTGCCGTGCACAAGTGTCAGGAAGTAGCCAGAGAAATACCGTGCCGTCCAGGAAGTTGCCGAAGAGGTCGCGGTACAAGAAGTCCAGGAAGCAATACAAGATGCCCAGGAAGCAGTTGAAGAAGTTGCCGTGCACAAGTGTCAGGAAGTAGCCAGAGAAATACCGTGCCGTCCAGGAAGTTGCCGAAGTGGTCGCGGTACAAGAAGTCCAGGAAGCAATACAAGATGCCCAGGAAGCAGTTGAAGAAGTTGCCGTGCACAAGTGTCAGGAAGTAGCCAGAGAAATACCGTGCCGTCCAGGAAGTTGCCGAAGAGGTCGCGGTACAAGAAGTCCAGGAAGCAATACAAGATGCCCAGGAAGCAGTTGAAGAAGTTGCCGTGCACAAGTGTCAGGAAGTAGCCAGAGAAATACCGTGCCGTCCAGGAAGTTGCCGAAGAGGTCGCGGTACAAGAAGTCCAGGAAGCAATACAAGATGCCCAGGAAGCAGTTGAAGAAGTTGCCGTGCACAAGGTAGCCAGGTTCAGTGAAGAGGTCTCAAGTCAACAGCCTTTTGCAAGGCTACTCAATTGCCCAGCTGACTTGTATGAACTTCGATTGTGTGCATTCCGGAACAAAACGGACCCTGCAGGTTGGCTGGCTGTCCCAACGGGGAAACCTTCAAACTTGTTTGAAACACCTGCAGGAATCCTCATTCACTGACTCTAAATATTAATTAGAAATGCCGTACCATATTTGCCGAAGAGGTCGAGGTACAAGAAGTCCAGGAGAGGTCGCGGTACAAGAAGTCCAGGAAGCAATACAAGAAGTCCAGGAAGCAATACAAGATGCACAGGAAGCAGTTGAAGAAGTTGCCGTGCACAAGTGTCAGGAAGTAGCCAGAGAAATACCGTGCCGTCCAGGAAGTGGCCGAAGAGGTCGCGGTACAAGAAGTCCAGGAAGCAATACAAGATGCCCAGGAAGCAGTTGAAGAAGTTGCCGTGCACAAGTGTCAGGAAGTAGCCAGAGAAATACCGTGCCGTCCAGGAAGTTGCCGAAGAGGTCGCGGTACAAGAAGTCCAGGAAGCAATACAAGATGCCCAGGAAGCAGTTGAAGAAGTTGCCGTGCACAAGTATCAGGAAGTAGCCAGAGAAATACCGTGCCGTCCAGGAAGTGGCCGAAGAGGTCGCGGTACAAGAAGTCCAGGAAGCAATACAAGATGCCCAGGAAGCAGTTGCCGTCCAGGAGAAAGAGTCGCGGCACAAGAAGTCCAGGCAAGATGTCTCCAAAGCAGAGAAATACCCAGGAAGTTGCCGAACAGGTCGCGGTACAAGAAGTCCAGGAAGCAAGATGCCCAGGAAGCAGTTGAAGAAGTTGCCGTGCACAAGTGTCAGGAGAGTAGTGCCGTCCAGGAAGAAGAGGTCGCCCAGGAAGCAATGCCAAGCAGTTGAAGAAGTTGCCGTGCACAAGTGTCAGGAAGTAGCCAGAGAAATACCGTGCCGTCCAGGAAGTTGCCGAAGAGGTCGCGGTACAAGAAGTCCAGGAAGCAATACAAGATGCCCAGGAAGCAGTTGAAGAAGTTGCCGTGCACAAGTGTCAGGAAGTAGCCAGAGAAATACCGTGCCGTCCAGGAAGTTGCCGAAGAGGTCGCGGTACAAGAAGTCCAGGAAGCAATACAAGATGCCCAGGAAGCAGTTGAAGAAGTTGCCGTGCACAAGTGTCAGGAAGTAGCCAGAGAAATACCGTGCCGTCCAGGAAGTTGCCGAAGAGGTCGCGGTACAAGAAGTCCAGGAAGCAATACAAGATGCCCAGGAAGCAGTTGAAGAAGTTGCCGTGCACAAGTGTCAGGAAGTAGCCAGAGAAATACCGTGCCGTCCAGGAAGTTGCCGAAGAGGTCGCGGTACAAGAAGTCCAGGAAGCAATACGAGATGGGAGTGTGCCGTCAACACTGCTAATGGGTTAAAAGCTAGGGGTACGCCACACATTGCCGAGACAACATACATTGCCAAAACGACACCCGAATTTCAACCGGGCTCGGGGCAGTTTGAAACCGGGAAACTGCATTAGTCACACGAAGCATCAAAAAGGAAAAACAAGCGTACTCCTGCTCGGTGATGCTGACTGGTGCACTGGAGACCTGGGCGGCGTAGGGCCGGCAGTGTTCCTAGATGCCTTGGCCATGGGGCCTGCCGAGTTCGACATCGGACCTGCGTGGGGGCGAGACATCTATTGCCAACAATTGCGAGCCAAGAGCAAGCTGACGGCGTCGTGATTTCTCACCTGATGTGTCGGGTAGTCGGATTGGTTGTCAAACAGTTGGTCTGACTGAAACGGTTCACGGAAACAGTCTGGGGCGCCGGAAGGTCTGGGAGAAGTCCAAGCCTGCATTGAGAAGATCAGCTGGAACAGTCAAGCGTCACGAGCGACAAGGTCCGGTAACAGTCTGTAGTAAATGTCTGTGCATGAGTCGGAACAGATGCCCACAACAGGGATCAAGACACTGACCGAAGCCCGGACGCAGTGCCTAAACACACTTGATATGAGACGGCAAACTGCGAATGTGCACCCCGAAACGTAGGAGGACGCAAGCACGGAATCAGGTTGGAGTTTCGGCATGCTTATCCTGAAACAATTTCGCTCGTGAGAGGCGTCCTCATCAGGGGTGCCATCGCCACTCTCGAGGTACTTTTGAATCAGCAATCCGCATGGTGGCACCCGACTCCAAAAAGGAGAAAAAGCACGACCGCAAAACCCCTTAGGAACAGGGGGGCCACACACACACACACACACACAGTCAATTGCCCGAGCGTGGCCCGTGTTTGGTGAGAACTGGTTTCCTTTGGCTTGGTCTTGCCGTGTCCGGGTTCCTCCAGGCCCAACGGGCAAAAGGTGGGTAGAACACCGTTTTGTTCTTTCCAAAAGCTCAGGTGCCCCGTAGGGACCTGGCACTAAAGGGAGATCAGTTTTGGGCCATGACGAAGTAAGGGAACCCAAAACTCAGTTGTTCAGTGAGACTGAAAAAAAGGGAACCCTTTTTTGGGAAGACCATTTTAGTGGGGCAGCCACCAAACAAAAAAGGGGAAAAAGGGAGCCACTGAACAACTGAGAAAATGGGAAAACCCAAAGGTCAAAAGGTCGGCGAGAAAGGCCTAAGCGGCGGTTCGGTCAAAAGACCGAATCGCCATGCTATGGGAGTCTTGAATCCTATCCTAGTCCGCATCTTCGAATCAAGATGTGGCATCAGAAAAAGGGCCGCGGTCCCTGGTAAGATATCCCTGCTCTCCACGAACTAAGTGTTCACAGATTCTTCTTGCAGTTGCTCAGGTGAATACCAACCAATATGGGGGCGTGTCGTGTTTTGCGGCTTGGTGGCTTTAAAGGAAAGCCAGAAGGACAACCACCATGTTTGGGGGATTCCTAAGGCAGCCACCCCCATATTGGTACCAATAGTTCTCTACATGGCGTGGTTGGTTCCACCTCCCATTCTAGCAGCCCACCAAGGAGACCACCCTGTGAAACTAGGAACACTGCTGGTTCCCCTCAGATGCCCAGTGGCCATGAGAAAAAAGGGCATCCATTTTAGGTTGCTTGACTTTCAAGGGGAACCCTTCCCCAAAAAAAGGAAAACAGGGTACCTCTGGGCAACTGGTTCCCTGTTGCATGCCAATTTGCAGGCAACCCCCCCTCCCCTTGAAAGACCCCCCAACATCACCTACGGACCCAACATGGAGGTGTGTTTGGGGGATGGTAGAAGCAGTGTTATGAGCAAGGGGTGTATTTGGGTGCTTGGCCAAGTTAGTAAGTTGTTGGCAACCTAGGATACAATCCGCTTATACGTCCCAAGTGAAGTTAACCTTGTGACTGCTGAGTTGATTACAACACAGGTGGCTAACCGCTTACTAACCTGGCCGAACATCCAAGTAGCTTCAGAAGTTACCAACACATCCAGGGCACCTGCACCGCAAAGCTGAGGAAGACATTTGTGCCGTTGCCGCGGTTCGGCTCCATCAAATGCGAAGCCCAGGATGGGAACATGATCCTTGGCACGGCAAACAAACTACGGACACATTTCTTGCTGGCTTCCCCGAGAGGACGGGGAACATTTGAGGCTCGTCCCCGAAATTTGTCTTGGGAACTCAGCTCGAGCTCATCCCAAAACATTCCCCCCAAACCCCAAATGGACCGGAGAGGCTACTGGAGATTCCGACTTGACCGACCCTCAAATCACCCCGAACTGTTTTGCCTGTTCCTCTTTAAGCTATAAGGACCTTACATTAAATAGGGGTCTGTGGGGGCCCGGTCGATTTGTCCAACCTGTTTATGGGCATCCCAAACAAACATGGTTTATGGGTAAAACAAGCAGGTGAGTCATCACAAACAGGGTCCCAAACAGGGTCGCAATGAAAGGTTGGCAGTTGGGGCGTTGTCAAAGTTCGCACCAAAAAGGGGGAAAAACAACAAAAACAAACAGAAGGTTGAAAGGTCGCTTCGCTTTGGAGAGCTGATTTCCGCCAATGGGCAACGCCCATGTGTCTGGTCGGAATCATCTTTAAAGGGTTGTTTGGTATACGAGGGTGGCCTAAAACGGACTTATTTCAGCACCAATTCAACCAATCGAGGGGCCAGAGGGGAAACAACAGTTTGTTGGTAGTTGCCTTCAAGGAGTACCCCCTCCACAGGAAATGGAAGAAAGACCAGTGGAGGTCTGGGTACGTGCAGACCTGCCCGCTGATCAACTCGAAGTGCAAGGTGCTCAAGGCTGGACGGAGAATGCGTCACACAACCCCAATAGAATTATAGAAAATACCCAACACGTGTGCCACGATCAATGTTCTGACATTTGGTTCTAGGCCGAAATTTCCTGGTGGGTGCGTGTACCCAATGTCATTCCTACAGTGTAGATGACAGTATGCATATCTTGCTCGTGTATTGAAATCCCTCAGGTGACAAGACATCTGGCGGATTCTTAGGGGGGTGATTCCCCAAACAAGTGAAGAGGGGAGACACACCGATCTATCAATCAGGGGGTTGTGAATCCCATGTTCAGAAGCCTCTGATTAAACAAATGCAAAGGCGTGCTGGTGTTGCTCGCGGCGACTTACCGGGAGCCGCAGCAGGGGGAGCCATTGCAGCCACATAGTGGCAATCAATCACTCGTGACCATGAAGGACCACTAAGGGAGCGACGGCCATTAAGGCCCCTTAAACGTCATGGCCTCTAGGTATGGCTCTGGCATAGGTGTCCTTTTGGTCAAATAGATGGGTTTGCCTGGTAAATGGATGGCATAAAACCAATTTAAACCAGTGGTTCTCTATCGATCTCTAACTCAAATTACCGATCAAAAGGACACCTATCTTCCATTTGCGTAAGCCCCCGGAAAAAAATAAAAAAATATCTCCAGTAGTGAAATCGATTCCCTTCAAAACCAACAAGGGAAAAACGAAAAACAAAAACTGCATATTCACTTCAGCAAATGATAGATTCCCTTCAAAACCAACAAAGGAAAAACGGGGAACAAAAATAAGAAGAAAAAAACAACATATTCACTTCATCAAATGGAAGCACTATGCTCTGGTTCCGTTGAGTTCGGCCAAACCGAGCTCCGAGTCCGGCTTCCGCCGGCCGCTCTCCGCCGGGGCGCAGGTCACCTTCTCGAAAGTCCTCGGTTCGCGAGTCGGCATCCGCGCGAGTCAGTTGCCCCGAGGGATCAGCGGACTTGCCCCAAGCTGCCAAGTCTCCGGCGATGCCATTTTTTGCTTGGAGAGGTTTGGAGTAAAATGCGGTACCCCTTTCTTGTATGGGTTAAAACCCATACACCACTTGGACACCCCCAAATTTAGTATGGGTATTTAAAAAAAAAAAACAACAACTCCCCTTTGACCGCACTCCCCTTTTCTCCCTGTGCGTCCGGGGCTCGATGTGGTGCTTCCACCCGAAGGGCGGATTCACGCCCCGAGGATCCTCGAAGGACATGCGTTGCTTCCCGTTGCACCTGGCCGGATGTCCGCAGCTCCCGAGCACAGCGCATGCCACTCATCCACATCCATACATTTGGCGTGGTGCAAAGTAGCCGGTTGGGGGGGGGGGGAATTGGGTGGGGTGGGGGGTATTAAAGCCTAGATCCTCCAGTAGAGAGGTTAGAATAAGTTGGTGCCAACTTATGTTTCTTCTTTTTTTCTTTTTTTTGGTAGGGGAACCCTCCCCCAAAAAGGGAGAGAAGGGCACTACTGGGGGGAGCTAGATCCTGCTTTTTGTTTAGATCACTACCTGGACCCTCACACTGCCCATAAATCAAGGGAGTTCACCCCATAATTTTGGGGTGATAACCCATTGTCAAGGGAATTCCGAGAGTCCAGGAAGAGGAAACTCACTCCAACCGGGGGTATGTTGTTGATCTCCGTTTTGTGTTGTGCTCGGACTTATGACTTGTGGTTGCTTCGCAGTTGGTCCAACGTCATCTTGGGGTATGTTCAGATCTCATGGGAAACCTAACTTACCTGGTCCACTTTTGTTTGGTCTCGATGCCCCTCAGCACTGTAATGCCACTGAGTAGGCACTCAGCCACTGTCCTTTCCGTTCTCAGGGTGTTTGATTTCTTCCATTTGCGAATAAGTCCCCTGGAAAAATGAGCAAATATATCCAGTAGTGATAGATTCCCTTTAAAACCAACTGGGTAGAACACAACATAATTATTTCAGCCAACATGAAACCTGACGTTCGGGTGTCGGTGGAAGACCATTGTCCGTTTGAAGTGACCATTTCTCCGGTGCCTTCCATGCTAACTAGTGGGAGGGTACTCATCCCAAAACCTGAACCCCTCCCAAGCAAAGGACCTGCAACTGTTTGAGCTCGCTTTGTTTTCGAGTGGAATCAGTCCCGCAATTTTCGTGGGCGGCTCGGCTTTTTCTTGGAGTTGGTACGTGCAAGTTCAACGTGATGATTGGTTTGCCCATTTTACAACGAGTGTCCTTTCAATGGGGAGAATGTCCAGAGTGATGCTAAATGTGCCATCATCTTGCACCAATTTGAACATCTTTACCAGTCATGACCAATGGCTTAATGTTTTGCCTTTTGGCGTCCCTTTCAATCCACCAACAAATAGGATATCAGCTCCAAACGAAGGAGGTGAGCACCCCCAAATGGTTGGGTTCCAGACTCACCGCATGCTTCCGTTTTCTGATCCCCTGCCCAACAAGTGACAAACTTTTAGTGGCTTAAAAGGAAACCCCCACTAAACCAACTAAAACCTATAAACACCTAAGGATAACATAAGCACCAACAATGAAGCCATGAGTATCCAGCTGAACAATCTTTGGCCCACATCTCGGCTGCACCGAAAATCACGTGCGAACGGATTCGGTGCATCCACAGCGAGTAATATGTGTGATGTCCATATTTATTTTAGCTGTTTGTGCTTTGAGACCAATGTATGTTTGGCGTGCTATTTGTTAATAACTTGGCGACGTTTGTACCCCAACATATAACATGTTTGCCCAGAAACACGGACTGAATGCAAAAAAGTCCAGGTTAATTCACCGGTAGGGCTCCAAAATGGCCATGGGTTCATGCATGGTTGACGTTGGAAGGGGAGCATAGACTTAAAGTTTAGCAATAAAGCGGGGATTTCCCACTAAACCACAATAATTAAGCACAAATGCACAATGTTTCCCAGCAACAACCATGCATGTACCGACCTGTACAATCCGCCTTTGACACACTCCAACCCTCCCATCCCCCCCGGCCTCAGCGCGAGGATGCCAACTACTGGCGAGCCGGTGTGGGTGTGGGACACTTGGAACTCCCCGGCTCGGTACACCTCCACCTGCACCGAAACCGGTTGCGTCGGCAGTGTCGGTCCAATGAACAGGTATCCTTACATGAAAAACACCTGATCATTGCAACTTGTAAATGGTGGTTTCCTTTTAAGTCCTTATATTTTGGTGGCAAAAGCCATGGTTCAAATGGTTGCCTTGTAAATGGTGGTTTCCTTGTATTTTGGTGTTGAAAAAGCCAGCCATGTTTCAAATGGATGGGCAAAATGGAGAGCCTTTAAGAAGCCCTGATGAAGTCAGCATCAGGTTGGCTTTTGGCTTTTGGAGCTATGGATGCTTGCATACCACCAATAAAAGCTCGTGTGGCAGTATATACCCCTTAAGTGGTGTATACATGTATATAACCTCCATACCTCCAAGCCCCATGCCTGAACATGCCATTGAATCAAGGAAATGTGGATGAGCCTGTCATATTGCAAGTAAGAGAAGAACGGACACCTCCAGAGTACCGTAATTTATCATGGTTTGTGGTTGAGTACGCTTGGCGTTGGTTTCCTTCTTGGTGTCCCTTTCAAAAACCATCCAAACGAGAGTCAGTTGTCAATGGTTGACAACGGGGAGCCCCCCCCAACCTGTGGTTTCCCCTTTTCCCCTTTCGACCCCACCCTGATCTTAGCGTTCCCTCAAAGCAAACACCCCACTTGGGTGTTTGGCCAAGTTAGTAAATGATTGTCACCTAGGTTATAACCCACCTAAAGTCCCCACTAAGTGCACTTGCCATGGCATGGGGTTAACCTTGTTATGAGGGGGCTCAAACTCCAAGTGGCTAACTACGTACTAACTTGGCCGAACATCCAAGCATGCTCTAAGTTCGACTCGCATCACCATTGAAATGGGGTGTGTAAATGCATTGCTTTTGGCTTCTGGGGAAATGGGATGTGGCATCCGGAAAGCGAAAGCGGGCAGTTGTCCGTTGGTTTAACAAAAACACATCCGACAGGCGTACCTCCTGGACATTCGCGAAAATTACAACAGGTGTTTCAACAGCTGTTTCCTAAAACAAATGTACTTGGTCCAACAGGGTCTGTCAAGAAACAACATTGAGCTGTTGTTGTCTGTTGGAAATGCCACAGGCACCTTTCTCTTGTTCTATTCTCATCCATTTGCGAAGTTCCCCAGGAAACAAACAAAAACGATCCAGTAGTGATTCCCTTTCAAACCAACAAAGGGATGAACAATACCCCAGGAGCCCAAGACCTCTTTCATCATTTGAGACCTTTGGGGGTGAAAGGCCTTCGTATTCCAGGTCTTGGGCTCCTAGGCTAGGCAAATTCTAGGGGACACTTCCCCACTCTGTCCAGGGATCCTTTCCAGAAAACCAAGGGGAAACGGCTGGTTTTTGAGCAGAACGATGATTGAAACGAATGGAAAAGGAACCAACCCCTAGACAAATGGAAGTTTGCAGAACAAACCAAACGACTCAGCCGCAGATCCCCCAGACTCATCTCTGGGGGGCCAGACCCATGGGATAAATCTGAAACGCCTCAGCCGCGATTCGATGCCAGGCAGTTGCTGGCGCCAGAAAACTAGTAATATACATATATATATAATGTATATATACATGTACGTAACATATATATGTATATATATGTATATATTAATACATATGTTGCTTCCTGTATTGCTTTTACATTGGGTCTGTCTTTTTTGAGGGTACTCTTGTGGGGGTTGGCGTAAAGGAAAACCAAAAGGAACACCACCATTATATGTTGTTGTTGTTGTGGTTTTGTTTTTTGCGTTTCGGGGGAGGGGGTGAAGGGGGGTCCTTTCTGAAAAGACACACCCAAAGACTAGGTCGAGTTGGCCGGACATTGTCATGATTCCAAGATCAACCGGAGATTAAAACCAAATAACCCTGTTTATCACCCCTACCAAAAGGGGGAATGGGGGTGGGGGGTCCACAATTCCAGTTATCTAGTCTTCCCCTTACAAAAGAAATGGAACTATAAATGGAATTCCAGGGGTCACCCCCCTCCCGCAATTCCATTTTTAAGGGGGTGGGTGTTTTGGGTGAGGTTGAAACCCACATACTGTGGATTGCGAAATCCATCCCCAACGCACCACCTAAGGACCCCTGGAATGATTCGATTCCCCTGTAAACACCAACAAACAATGCTTTTTCATGGTTTCTTAGGTGATGCAGGATTTTGTCCATCCACAGTGTCAACACAAGTGACGCTGCAGAATTGGGACACCTGGACCTTGACCTGACGAGTTGCGACGGAACAAGGATTGAAGCAAGAAGCAACCGAAAGCTTGAGCCGAATGGTTGTCCTCTTCCCTTAGGGGGTCGCACTAAAAGGATCCCCATGTTGAACAGCACTCAAGTGTAAGTTTTGGGGTGTGCTTCTTAAGAGGGTACCCTTTTTGGGGTCATGCTAAAGGAACACCACATGAAAATCACCCTTTTTCGGGGTTCCCTACTCAGATGCCCAGTGGATTTCCATGGGAAAAAAGGGCATCCGTTTTTGATTGGTTGAGTTTAAAGGAATCAGCACCCTTCCCCCGGAAAAAAAAGGGGAACAAAGGAAAAGGGCGCCACTGGCCAACTGGGCCTATTTTGAGACGTACCTATATAGCCCGGAGAGTGTGCGGCTGAAAAGGCTTGCGCAACCTCTCAAACTCAACTCGGGGTGCATGTCCTGCACATGCCACCCCAACCAAAGGCTAGGTAGGACGTCTATTTTAGTAGGGGAACCCTCCCCCCAAAAAGGGGTTTAAAGGGCACCTAGCTGGGGGACCTAGCAGGAAACTCGTTGTGCAATTGGCAAACTAATGATCACGGTTGAACTTGCACACAAAGGCAGGGCGTTCGTGTTTTGTGCTGGTGTCCCTGTTCAAAACGCTCCAAGAAAAAGCCGAGCCGCCCACTTCATTGCGGGACTGAAATCTAGGTGTGCTGGCTGGCTGCTGTTTTCGGTGCTCCGAGGTAGGAAGCAGCGAGGAACCGAGGTTACAACCCATGTTTCAGTCCCCCGTTCGGTGGGGTTAATCCTGTTAGCGGGCTGCAACTCAGGTGGTACTAGATTCAGGGGGGTTTGGTTAACCTTGCTGTCAGATCTATCGGGGGGTTTTACCAAATTCCGAGCCACCAACTTGGCGAATCGAAGATCCAGGTAGGTCTAAAACGCCCTAGGGGTAAGGAGCTCACTCTCGTTGTTCAGTGACCCTGGAAAAAAAGGGAACCCTTTTTCGGGCTTGGACCATTTTAGTGGGGCAGCCACCCAAAAAAAGTTGGAAAGGTCTAAAACCCCCTAGGGCTAAGGTCAGGAGCTCCCTTCTCCCGGGAAAAAAAAAGAAGAAGAAGCTGGGCTTCACCTGCCCGTTCCTCGGAGCAGCTCCGCTCGGCTTCGGAAACCGCAGATCAACTTTCTAGGTCCTGGAGTCCTGGAGTGTAAACTTCGGCCCACAGCCCTCCCCAACCAAAAAACTCCCCACCACCCAAGCCACCACCCAAAGCACCTCCAAACCAGCCCCCCCAAGCCCCAAAACCGCCCACCTAGCTATTTGTCCACCCCACTCTCTGACCAAACTGATCTTCTTGCCAGAAGTCGACAACTTTTAGTGGGTGAACTGGAACCACCCCCCCACTTTTCTGACACCCCCCCGCGCCAGAGCACGTCCCCCCCCCCTCAGAACAACCCCCCCCCACCCTCCCAGACCAAACCCACGCTTCCACCGCTTCCACCGCTTCCTTCGGCGCCTCGCCCGCCTCGCCCGCCTCGCCCGCTCCGCGCTCGCTTCGACTGGGCGCGGCGCTTGGCGGAGGGGTCCACCGTGGCCTCCGAGGCCTTCTTGTACGCGGCCTCGGAGAACGGCCCGCGCGGATCTCGCGTCGGCCCCCCGCGAAACGGGACGACGCTCGGACGACCCCCAAGAAAACCGGGGGGACATGTTTTCGGACGGGCGGGTGGGTCCCGGACCAGTGGACAAATCGATCCCCGTAAAATGAAACAAAAAACAAGCAAACTGGTTTCATGTTTGGGGTTGAGTTGTTCGAGAAATGTCCCTCCCCCAAAGAGCTTGAAGACATTCCTTCCAACCAAATTTTGGAGCCCAGAAAAACTGCTGGAGCACTGGGGTGCTTCTGTGAGCCACCGATATCTTACTAAAGTGGGGCAAGGGACACCTCGCCTTGGCTTCTTGCGGGCCACAGGAGCAAGCGACCAGAGGGGTATGTCCTCTTCTAAGGCCTTAGCTCAGTTGTTCAGCGACCCTGGAAAAAAAAGGATGGGAACCCTGTTTTGGGGCGTGGGCCATTTTAGTGGGGCAGCCACCCAAAAAAAAGGAAGAAGAATTGGAGCCACTGAACAACTGAGTTAAAGCGACACCGAAAGGACACCTCAATTTTTTTTTGGGGGGGGGGCGGGAGGGGGGGGGCCGGGGTGAGGACAAAATTTGACCCACATGGAGTCTCAGACCCCGATGCATGGAGAATGAGGGCCCTAGCAAACTTCCAGCCCAACCCGCCACCAGATTTCTCCGAAACTTCCTTCCCATACGTAGACCCCCCCAAAAAAAAACAATGGCGGCTTGTCCTTCCATCCTTTTTTCGCTTTGCCCCTCCCCAAACCCCAAGAACAACATGGTCCGAAACTTCGCGGGGCCCTTCAGCGCCGTAGAATGATCGTCTTTAGATCCCCCTACTTGATTCAAAAGGTGGGAGTTCGGCAATGGAAGACTCCAACATATACCCCACGCCCTGACTCAAACAGGTGGCATTTAGCACTGAACAGCCCGGGTTCTGCAAAGTATGCCCCACGCCCTGACTCAAAAAGGTGGTATTACCCCAACCCCTGACTAAAAAATCACACTATGCCCCGTGCCCCGACTGGAAAAAATGGTATTTGCAATGCAAAACTCCTGGTTCTTCAAACAAGCAACTTATACCCCACCCGCAGACTCAAAAAGCTGGAGCTTGCCGTGGCCAGACTCCTAGTTCTTCAACATATGCCCCCACCGTGACTCAAAAGTGGTGTTTGCCACTCGGCCCCCTGATAATAGTTGCCATGGACACGTCCTGGTTCTTCAAACAAATATATACCCCACCCCCTGAGTCGAAAGGTGGTATTTGCATGGACAACTCCTGGTTCTTCAACATAAAAACATACACCCCACCCCCTGATATGGAAAACGTCCAGGTGCTTTAAAGTCTACCACAACCCCCTGACTCCAAAAGGTGGTAGTTGCCATGGACAACTCCTGGTTCTTCCCAATCTCCGGACTGAAAAGGTTTGTATTTGCCGGACAACTCCAGGTTCTTCAAAATATACCCCACCCCCTTACTCAACAAGCTGGAATTTGCCGTGGCAAACTCCCGGTTTTTCAAAATATGCCCCCTGACTCGAAAGGTGCTCTTTGCCATGGAAACGTTCTGGTTCTTTCAAATCTACAACTCTTTGACTAAAAAAGGTGGCAGGTGCCAGGGAAACGTCCTGAATCTTCCAAAAAAAGTATACCCCCCCCCCCCCCGACTCGAAAGGTGGTATTTGCATGGACAACTCCTGGTTCTTCAACATAAAACACACACACACACACACACCACCCCCTGACATGGAAACTCCGGGTTCTTCAAAGTCCCCCTGTACTCCAAAAGGTGGTAGTTGCCATGGATAACTCCTGGTTCTTCCCAATCTCCTGACTCAAAAGGTTTGAATTTGCCGGACAACTCCAGGTTCTTCAACATATACCCCACCCCCTTACTCAAAAAGCTGGAACTTGCCGTGACAAACTCCCGGTTCTTCCAGAAACGCGCCAAGTACTCGCCACTCTTCAAGCATCCGCACCATGTGCCCCAGGATCTTCTTGACAGTCCTCGAACGGAGCGAGCCCCCCGACCAAAAGCGAAGAGGAACCGGGTTTTCTCGAGATCGGGCAAGGGGCAAGAAGTGAAAATAAACAACTCAGAAAAACATAGAATGTTAGGTCCTGCGGTAGAGGGGTTAGAATAAGGGTGCCATCTTTTTCAGGACGTCTATTTTAGTAGAAAAACCCTCCCAACCAAAAAAGGGGAGAGAAGGGCAATCCTGGGGACCTGGAATGTCAACACAAAATCCTGATTGATTTTGATTGGGGGGTGTCCCCTTAGGGAATCACGCCACGGTTGGATGGGAACACGCCCTGTTGGAAATCGGGCCGGCTCGGCTTAAATCTGGGGTCCACATTACCCGGATTGGTATCCGACTGAAGGTAGCTCGACCTTGAAGCTGGCGAGATGTGCCACCAAAAAGCCCGCCGCGTCTCAGAACTTCCCACTCGCGCCGGCAATAGGAACCCCCCTTGGTTCGGAGTCTCCTTGTTCTTTGCAGCCCGAAAATGAAGCGAAGTGCCAGCTTCCCTTTTGATTTTGGCCTGGTAGGCGCTGTTTAAACCATTTCAAGCCCCAGGAGTTCAAATCCCCAAACCACCAAATGAAGCTTGCCTGAAAGTAAAACGCTACAACGCCAAAGACGCATATAACCAAACACAAACAAGCAAGCAAGCAAACAAAAGACAAACACACAATCAAACAAAACACAAGCAAGCAAACAAACAAACAGACAAACCGACAAACAGCCAACCAATCAAACAAACAATCAAACACACAACAAAATAAACAAAGCAACACACAACTGAACAAGCTAACATATTTTGTTTAAAGCAACAAAATACCAACCAACCAAACGATCAAAGACAAACAAGAAACAAGCAAGCAAACAAGCAAGCAATCAAGCAAACAAACAACAAACAAATAATAGAACAAACTAAATACATAAGCAAACAAGCAAGTCAGCAAACAAACAAACAAACAAACAAACAATCAAACCACGCAAACACACAAACACGAAAACACGAAACAACAACAAACAATCAACCAACCAACCAAACAAACAAACAAGCAACCAAACAAACAAAGGAAACAAACAAGTGCACAAAACGACCGACAAGACCGAGCATCGACTGCATGTGCTTGGACGAGTGCAGCTCATCCTGGCGGCAGTGAGTGCCCAGATCCCCAAACCACTCCAGCGGAAGCAAGGCTAGGTCCTCCAGTAGAGAGGTTTGAGCTGAGGGTACCAACTGTTTTTCACCCTCCCCAAAAAAAGGGTAAAAGGGCACTACTGGGGACCTAGATGGACCCCAAAGTGGACCCCCGATGTTTCTCTTTGGTGCAATCAGCTTGTGGTATGCGATGCTTGATGACTTCCATTTTCTGAAATGATGTGTTTCTTATACTTTCCCCCGGTTTTAAAGGGAATCAATTTCACTACTGAACATATTTGATCATTTGTTCCATGCAGGGGACTCAGGCAAATGGACAAACTAGGTGGCTCTCCAAAATTCAGCATCCCTCCAAAAAGCATGGTTTGGAGCCAAATCGGTGGTTTGCTTGTTTGGCTTGGTAGGCTTTTTTTTATTTATTCTCAACAAGCCCCAGGTCAAATACAGGTTACCTGATAACCGATTATACTCGGGGTTCATAAACTAGGCCCACATCTGGGCCCACATCTGGGGTACACCTTCAAACTTAGTCTACCCTGAAATACTGTGCATGGACGAAATCCTCTTAGGCACCACCTAAGAAACCCTGGAACCATGATTCCCCTGTAAATACAATCAAACAATTATTTCCCATGGTCTCTAAGTGGTGCAGGATTTCGTCCATCCACAGTATAACCATCATTTCGGCGACCCCAGACATGAGCGCTCCAAACCCATTGACGTTTGGTTCCACAAGCATGGCTACAAAATATACGTGAGTGCACGTCGAAGTGCCAAAATGGAACTCTGGTAATTAAATACCCATACCCAAGCCTTTTTTTTAGTATCCTTGTTTGTTATTTAAGAGCCTTAGAACCAGGTCGTAAATCCACCTACTGAAATGGCCGATGGATGTCTGGCCGCTTTGAGCCACACGAGAAACAGCACCCCAACTCCCTCGATACAATTTGTTGGGTGTATCTTTTTAGTAGGAAACCCAAAAATGGCTTCGGGTGTCCCTTCAAAACCACTCCAAAGGGGTACCCTCAATAACAGACACACCCATTGCGTTGGGTGCCCCTCGGTTTGTTTTGTTTTAAAGGGACACCAACAGGAAAACTACTGTGTGGTAGAAAACCAAAAAAGACACTCCCAGGTGCGAAACTGCCAGGCGAAGCACCAAACCCCTGGGTGCTGCCAAAGTGCCCAAGCGTAGCTGACCTTGGTGGCCCTGGTTTGATGTGTACAAAGCTACTGTGGATGGACAAAATCCTGCACCAATTTGAAACCATTTTTTGTTGGTATGTACAGGTGAATCATCATTCCAGGGAATATTTAGGTGGTGCAGGATTTCGTCCATCTACAGTAGGTCCTCCTCCAGCGAGGTTAGAATGAGGCTACCAACTTTTTTCGGTCGATTTTAGTAGGGGAACCGGCACTGGGGGACCTAGAAAGAGAACTGGAAGGATTCCCTGAAAGGAAACCACAGGGGTCATTTCCTCATTTCCCGCTCAGCACAAGCAAGTTAAAAAAGGCGATGTTCCCTGTAGTTTCCCTTTTAATCAGCTCGGAAACAGACTTGTAAAAACAAAAAAAAACAAAACCAACAGGTCAAGGAGATCCAGATCGAACTGCACCCGCTGGCGCGCAGTATCCCAAAACCCTTCTCTTCGACCCCGCAAACAACGACAATAGCAAAAGGTCGAACCTAACTCTAGCTTCAATGGAAACCCGTTGGGCCTGTTCTAGAGGATTCCCCAAATTGGCTTTTCCTTTTGGTTTCCCTTTAAAACCACCCCAAAAGAGTACCAACTCCAAAGGACAACGACACGGCCATTTGCCTGGCCGGACTGTGGAGTGGAGTGAGGACATGTCGAAGCATCGTGCTTCTTCTCCCACCTGTGGTGGGATCGTATCGACGGATGAGCTTCCACCAGGCTTCTACACCTTGGCCTCGTATCTCACGATCTTACGATGGTGAATGATTCACGATCGCACAACTTCCATTTGCTGAAGCCCCCGGCAAAAGACAAAAATATGTCCAGTGGTGAAATCGATTCCCTTTTAACACCAACAAGGGAAAGTAAACAAACATATTCACTTCAGCAAATGGAGGACAAGCACTCAAAAAAAAAACAAGCTGTGCATTGACAGTCTCAACCTTCTCCCTCTGGCGATTCGTCGCTCCAAGGCTCCAGGGCCAGGCTCCCAGTCGCCCAGTCGCCCAGTCGGCCAGTCGGCCAGGTCTCTGTGAACAGCTCTGGAATTGAACGCCAGTTGCACGCCGAAGAACTTCCGAAGTTTTCACGGGAAGTTGAGCAATTCAGACCCCGGAGGCCTTTTCGTCAGTAAAACGAGGGAAGAATGCAAACCATCTCCCGGTTCAGCTACCACCATAAAAACCAGTAGGTTGGGTTCTGTTACCACCATAGCGTTATTTTACCGTTCAGTCAGGATTGTCATCCAAATTAGGTTGTTTTACTGCAATTCTTTGAATGGGGGCAAGCAACCCTTAAAATCTCACCCCGAACCCAGTCAGACACGCGCTGATGCGGTGTGCCTGGAAAGAAAAGGGAACCCTTTTTGGGGAAGACCATTTTTAGTGGGGCAGCCACCAAAAAAAAGGAAAAAGGGTTCCACTGAACAACTGAGTCAACCAGTTTGGGGGTCCACCATTTTGAGAAAGTTTCAATTCCAACATGGTTGGATGTGTAATTTCATGCTTGAGAGACGTGGCCCCAGTAAGAATTCAAGGAAGACTCCAGGTCAGGTGGTGAACCGAGGTCTGCCACTGGGCTCCCTGGTAGACATTTTGTCTATCTATATGTCTTGTGTGGCAATCTATCCACAGTTTATCGCGTTGTTTCAATCTATCTATTCAGAACATGGGTTGCAATCGATCTAACCAACAAATGGCAATGGCAAGGACCTAAGGCTCTCACACCATGGGCAAGGACCATGAGAGATCCGGAGTCGGACCCCTTATTTTGTCCAGAAGGGAATGCCATAGGGGCGGGGGAGGGGGGGGGGGGGCGGGGGGCTGTGCTTTTTGCATAATCATCATAACAGTAAAACAAACACCGCAAAGCTCGGGGATGGGGGGGGCTGTGTATGTTCTGCATGTGGAAAATAGTAACTAAAACAAGAACTTAACAACACCATCAACAAATTGTCGGTCCCCATTGCTTAAGAGTCGTAAAATTCTCCAGAAGGAAACCACCGAAAGCTCTTGAGACGCATCTTATGGGAATCGTTTCGCATCTGCATAGAAGTGTGGGATTCCCAGAATCGAGGAAAACGGACATCCGGGAATCGATCTCCTGTAAAGATCTAAAGCAACATACCCGACAAAATATTGCCCACTAAAAGAAACGGGGTCTTCAAACAAAAACAATAATATGTCCAGTAATGGAAACGAGGTCTCAAAAAATACTAGACAAATAAGAAAAAAAATCACCCAGCTCCCTGCTTCCCCCGCATTGCTCGTCTGCGGGCGTCGCCGGAGTCTCGTGCCAAGCGCCCAGCCCCGGGGAGCTGCGGCACCGGCTTCCCGTCCCAAAGGATCTCTTCCACGCCTCGAATCCGCCGGATCCGCCCAACACTGTAGCACTTCCTCAATTCTTCTCAGTTGTTCAGTGACCCTGGAAAAAAAATGGGAACCCTTTTTTGGGGGCTTGGACCATTTTGGTGGGGCAGCCACCAAAAACAAGGGGAAACAATTGGAGCCACTGAACAACTGAGTGGGTGGATTGGCAAAAAGGTCCAAACTTGTGGGGTCCATTTTGAATCGCATATTTTGAAATCACGCCTGGAAATTCCAGGTGATTTTTTTGGAAATCACGCCTGGGGGATCCTTGTGGCTTGCCACTAAAATGATGCAAACCCAACAAGTTGAAAGTCCATGAACTCGAGTGAGCTTCTGGAAAGGGAAAGCGAGGGCTCTCGGCAAAAGCGAGACGAGCTTACTTGCTCGATAAAGCGAAAGGAAACCGCTGCTACATCGTTTACTTGTCATTCGTTGAATACTACAAGTTGGAGAGAAAAATACTTAAAATGTGTTAAACAATTGAACAGGTAAGCCTTTAGTCTGGGCCCCTCTAGGGGCCCAACCCAGAAGGTAAGTCTCGGTTCACGCACTTCGCTGCCCCCAGCACCACTAATAGTAAGCCATTCGCCTGGCAATAAATCTGTCGTTTTGCACGACCGAAGTGACCAAACTTTCAAGCTGCCTCCATTTGGTTAGGCCCCCTGAAAAATAAATAAGCATATGTCCAGTAGATTCCCGCTACAAACCCACCACAGCGGAACTTGTTTTAAAGCAAATGAAGCTTAGCATTTGCCTGGGGGCCTGGAGGTGTGAATGCTTACAAGCTGAGGCAGGATATGCCTCTGCGGTGCTTGCCCCCATACCTACCAAAGCCGTATCTGAACCGGAGGGTTTGCTGGCACATAGTTCATGAACCGGTATGCGGCATGCTTCCCTGACAATTAACACGTAAGAGGAGTGTCCTCAACACATTGTCACATGGGTGCTTCCGGATTCCATGTCAGTTTGCAGGGGAGTAAACCGTCCCACCGGGTGCCAACTTGGTATACTCAGTTGCCCAAAGGACCCAGAAATAAAAGGCTAACCTTTTGGGGCCATGACTAAAAATGGAAAAGCCAAAAAGGGGAATCCAAAAGGTCAAAAGGTCGATTCGCTTTGGGCAAGTGAGTATAGGGTCATTGGCTTCAAAGGCAAATGGCCCTGGGGGTTTGGTGAGAGCTCCGAGAGTTTAAAGGTCGTGAGCCAAACCTGGGTTGGTCTCTGTACGGAAGCCGGATTTTGCACATGGGCAGCTTACTATTTGGCTTCCCTTGAACAAGGGCACCGTCAACCAAACAGACATACCCACATTGGGGGAGAAAAAACAAACAAAAAACAGTTCTGCTCGAAAAACCGCCTTCCAAAAGCAACAAACAAGGCAAACTTCTCTCGACATGTTGATGTCGTGTCGTGTTGAAACCCTGCGTCAAACGGGGGGGGTCTAAATTTGCTGATTGTCTCATCAGGACGTGGCAAGCTTTGAGAAATTGTTGAACGGTCAGCACGGACCCCAGGAAATGGTGAACTTGTTCCTCTTGGTTTCCATTTAAACCAACCGGAAAGGGGGACCGACTCAGAAAAGAACAAGCTCTGTCTGGTACCCTGAACTCCCCTTTGCCGGGAAGCCAATGCCAGTCACCATGGAGTAGACCCTCTTCTGCCACCTGCAGAAGGGCTGAGCGTGCCCCGAACCAATGGCCCTTTTGTGGCCGCGAACAAGGACGGCCCTTTCGTGGCCGAGATTTTGCAGGGAAACCCCTCAAAAACAGGGCTGTGGGGAATGGAATCCACTTCTGTGATACAACAGAAAGGGATTCCCAAAGCCTATTTTGTTCATATAAAGCGGGATCCCCAAAAGTATCACAGAAGTGGTTGGAGAAACCAATTCCGAGTGATCCACCACAAGCCTGAAATTAGGAACACTTGCTTGAGGGTATGAAAGGAAACCCGCAGTTGGATATATTTTTTTCTCGGGGTCATTTTCCATTTCTCATTCCCTGCCCTTCGAGCACCAAGACAAAAACAAAAACATTGGAGGTCTGGGTCCCATTTCTGTCGTCTTTGCATTGAATAAATATCCAACTGCTTAGTTTCGCGTCCCCCCAGATGGAAGGCATTCCCTGCAGTCATCGCGGCTTGTACACGCCTTTCTGCCCTTAGACCAAGCAGTGAAAACCTCATCCAATTAGAACACTCGGTTGCTTTCTTCTCCCCTGCTAAAAGTTTAACTTTTAGTGGTTTAATGGAAAACCCATTAGTTGGCAAAAAGTTAAAGTCCTACCATCCAAGCAAAATGCAAAGAACAAATATGGATCTCTTCAAAGAACCTTTTTCGGATTGTGATTCCAACTCGCTATGCCTCAGGATGATCCATCTCCAAACAAATGCCAGCTTGCTTGCTCACCGGTACGAGGGACGCCTGGGGCATCCCCCAGTTGCCTCATTCATAGCCGGTATCCCAAGACAAATGCGGCTCCATTAAAAAAAGAATAATAAAAAACACACCACACCCAAGGAAACCATAGAACAAATAAACAAGAACCTTACTGCCTGGCGTGGTGCGTGGGTCTTTCCTAAAAAAAAGTATCTTGTAACGAGCAAAAGGCACCCCCCCCAAAGAAACCATAAATAAACACCTCACTGCCTGGCGCGCGGGTCTTTCCGAAAAGAAGTGTTTCCATGTCACAGGTCGCAACGGCAACGGTGTGACAGTCAGAGTCCAGTCATTGCTAAAAGAACAGCAACACAGAACAAACAACAAATCAACAAATCAAACAACCAAAGGCACACATTGTGAAGCAGGTTCCCCTAAACCTGCGCTTTAAGTTGGAAAACGGGTGGGGAATCATAGTGAATCCTGTCCCAACCCGTTAGAGAATCAGCGACGCTTGAAACCTGATTGGCCAAACAATACGTCAGCCACCTCCTCGTTTCCCGAGTGGATTTGCCGAAACGTCGGAATTTGTTTGCTTACTGCTATTAAATTGGCAAACTTCCAGAACCTGGGGAGGTGGTTGGAATGAACAAATCTGAGGGGGGGTGCGCGCCCCCGGGAAGCCTGATCTTGGCTTGGCCATGGGCTTCCAGCGAGCAGAAACCCCCTCAAGAAACCTGGGTTGGTTTTTCATCAGTTCTTTGAGGGGGGAGTTGAGGGGTTGACCCTCCCATTTATTTTTCAGGGGTTGATTTGCAACCCAGGGGAATCCGGACAAAACCAAACCACACTCGCCGGCAGACCTGCACGTAGTGACGCGGTAGATCCGCTTAGAGGGAGGAGCTGCAAGCTTTGCATGGAGCGGATGCCCCAAATACTGGTAAACCAACCACAAAACACGTTTGAACGTATCAAACAAATCCATTGTTCCACCTGGTTGAGCTTACCAGGCCTACTTGAATTATTTGGGCCACCGTACTGGAGCCCCTGGCGAGGGCCATGCTGAGCACAGAGCAGAGAGAGCTGCTCGAGCCGGAGATATGAGTCATGGACACTCAATGAGCTCACCCTGACTACGGGGAAAACAAAAAAAAAAACTGGCAGCCCAACGGGAGCCCCAACTCAAATTCACGGCCCCAAAAAATCCAAAGCCCCTGCGGGAACCCACCAAAAAAAAACACACGCAAAGCCGCCCACTTCAAAAGGAGGACTTCGGAACTGCGAACGCCATGCCTGAAGAAGCCCTTGTTCCATCGGCTCTCCTTGGCTGTCATAAAGCCGGCGGACGTTTCTCAGGGAAATCGGCCCAACAACGGGCTTTGCCCTTGGAATACTCACATGTGAGTCATGATCAAAACCCGGTATCAAAATGGTCTACCCAGAACCATGTAACGAATTAAGAAGGCGGATTTCCGCAGCTGTTCATGGCAAGGGGAGTATCCCTTACTAACGTTCATCAATCCCCGTGTTTTGAAGACGTTCAGACGGACCCTTCCACAGCTGGAATCATCTGCTTCCATTTCCTTAAGCCCCCGGAAAAATGAAAAAATCGCTCCAGCAGTGATAGATTCCTTTAAACACCAAGATACAAAAAATAAAACATATTCTTAAGCAAATGGAAGTAAGTCCCAAATACGGCGTTTCAATACTTAAGGGCTTGATAAGAAGCAATTTGGGTTCCCTCCCACCTCCCCTCCCTCCCATCAAAAAAGGAAAGCCACCCATTTTCTAGTTCCCCATTCGGTCTGAGCCCACAACGTGCGTGGGGGAGCTGGCCATATCTTCGGACTCAAACCCGGTGGGTCGATGGCTTGCCAAGTTAGGGGGGTTGATCAAAAGGTAATTTACATGGGATGACCATTGGTTGGAAAACCACTAAAAAGATGATATGTCCCACTAAAATAGAACAGTTACCCATTGGGGGTCCATGGTCATTGGGGTTCGAAGGGAATGTTGATCAAACCCCATGCGAGGTTTGGTCGAACTGGTAGGGACATGAGGGGCGGGAGCTCCAATCTCCCCAGCAAAACCGGAGGGCGAGCCATCATTTTCCCACATCCTTTCGTGGGTCCTTTTAACTTGTCATCGCACTTCGGTCAAAGACAGCGACCCTGCCATCTGGGATGTCCTTTTAACACGCCGCGGCGTTGGGAAGCAGCATCGACGGGTCCAGAATGCCAAACTTCAAAGGTGGCGAGCAGAGATGCACGGCACATGGACTGACAGAACTAGCTGAAGAAGTTGCAACATAATCTGTCCGGAGTCTTCATATGACTCTTTAAGCAAGGGTCCACCATGTTCAGAACCTCTCAAATCTGACATTCAAGGTCTCTTCATCAAACCCATGAAAAAAGGAATCAAGAGGCCGGATCCGGATGCCCGCACGGTCACCTACCTGAAATCAGGAATCCAATCCTCAAGTCAGGGATGAATGAAGATTAAGGAAGAGATGATGTAGTGTCATCCATCATTCGAAATTACTTTCCAAGACATGCAAACAGAAGCTCGTAACTGACTTCAGATTGTGCTGCTTTTTATTGATGACCTATATTCTCTGTAATCAGCTTCTGAAGATTAACTGTGCTATTGCTCACCCGTGTTCATACCTGCATCTTCCAAGAGGTGCATAATTTCAGCAGTTTTGGGCACAACCATGTTTTAAGTTGAGACGGCGCATTTTGATGCAAACTGCGCTTTTCCTCTTTTCAGCATCAGGGTGCATATTCGAGGTCATGTGGCGCTGGCTCTTCATGCCAGTATGCTGGTTACAAGGTGCTGGTCGAATGTGATGCACTTGACTTTCAGCACTAGCGCCGCAGTAATCTATGTTTTTGTTCCTTCATCGCGCCTCTCTCGATTATTGAAGGTCCAGCAAACAGCATCCACCCACTTGTTGCAGGCGCAGAACTGGGTCATGAACTGGTTTACTGCAGTGGCGCGGCGAAGGTTATAGCCAGTTCAAGCAACTCCCACAGTGGGAGTGGTAAGATCTCTAATGGCTTCAGGAATCACACAATGTCAAGTGATCTTTGCTGAGTTGTTGAGACCATTTGCGACTAAAACGTGGCGCATGTTTAGCTTGAAATGCCTTCCTAACTTGAGAAGGGCAAGTTTTGCAAAGTGGTTAACAGCACTCTAGGATGGAAGGCCAATCCGCTTTATGCTGGTTTGCATGCAAGCCAAGAAGGTTGGGAGCGTGAGAAACGAATATGAGGGACCCATGCCAACACATAAGAATGTAAGTTGCAGTTGCCGTGATTGCTGTTGGATGGCTTTGTTTACTGCTGCACACACCTGGGAAGCGTCAATTTCTGAATTGCAACTGGGCTTGCCATCGCAGCCCTAGAAAGAAAAGACCCCGAGTTGTGTTGCCTTGGAAAGACTCAGGCAACTGCGTCCAAAATTGCAAAAACGAAACGGCGATAATTTGCGGCCAAACGGCGATAATTTGCGGCCAAAAGGCGATTTTTAGCGAACCACATTCATAGCGCTTGCCGGTTCACTTCACACGCTGCTCTATCACGTGGGCTCTCCCAGGGAGCAAACATAAGCAAACTGTTGTAAGGGCTGTCCTCGGAAATGACTGTCGGTCAGTACTCTGGCTGCAGTCATATTTGGCAAGAGTATGAGCAAGCAGCCACAACAAATTAAATGCAATTAAACTTAAATGTATCTTTGCTGATGTTGGCACTGTTAGAAGCCAACTGGTGATTTGATTCATGTTGGTGGCGTGCTGTGCTGAGAGGGTGCGAGGGGTGTCTGCGACTCGAAGAAAACTGAGGAGCTTAAGCTACAAAACTCGCATATCCTCCTGAATAAACACTTCTTAACTTCTTAACACGTCAACTTGCAAAGAACAATTACATGTGCTTCAAAAAAATTGATTTGCGCGCGCACGTCTGGAATTCTCAGGATGTTGGTTCCAGACCCTGTGGGGCTCTTGAGCGCCACCATTGACAGATACGAATGACAGTATGCTCAGACTCAAATCCTGCGCACGTGCTTGAACATTTGCTCAGGGATGCGCGGCAGTAGCAGGATTTATCCTGCTATCCGAAGCCTTTTAATCGACTTTGCAATCTGGGCATGTTAGCTGCCATACCCTTCACACACCTCCAGGCGCATTTGCCTGCACTAGATTGGGGCAATGATGCAAAGCAGCTTTGCCGACATTGAACCAAACTGCAGGAAGTTCGCAAAACGGCAAGTTTTGATTGAAACGGCTGGAATTCGTGGAAACGGCAACATTTTCTGCAGTTTGGCCAAACGGCGGAAATTACGTTCCCTCAGAAGATCCAGGTATGCTGTTTCTCTTCACCGGGGATTCACAATTGATGACAAAACACCACAAATTGTTAAGACGTAGATTGTGAATGGAGGCACCGGAAAGAACCGCACCCAAGGAGGCTTCATCATGGGTAAAAGCACGCAATTACTTTATATGTCCTCCAGTAGAGAGATTAGAATAAGGGGTACCCTTTTTTCTGTAGTCTATTTTAGTAGGGAAACCCTCCTCAAGAAAAGGGCAAAAGGGCAGTCCTCACCGCCTTGCACCATGGCACGTCCTCGAGTGCGAAGTCGGCGGCGAAGTCTTTGTCCTTCTTCAGCTCTTTCGGCAGCACCTGCGCAACTCCGAGCAATCAACTCTGCTCCACTAGGTCCTCCAGTAGAGAGGTTCGAGAATAAGGGTACCCGATTTTTTTCAGAACGTCTATTTTAGTAGGGGAAGGCCTCCCAACCAAAAAAGGGGAGAGAAGAGCACGACTGGACCTACTCCAGTTGCCCTTTCGGTAGTTTTTGCAAGCATTTAGCACTCACGAACCAGGAGGGTCACCTGACTGCTTCCATTTGCTGGAGTCCAGTAGTCCTCCATGCCTTTGTCAAAGCCTGGGGAAACCATGGGAAGCCAAGCAATGGACTCTGGGTTGGTCCCACCTGAATCAAGACTGAGGTCAGTGATCCGCCGTGCTGTTACCAAGATTTGGGAAGTACAATCCAAACATGCAGGGTTTGTATGAGATCTAGATTCGGACACAGCTCATTCCTCTTTAACACCACAAAAAGGCTGCCCGCAGAGAAGGACCTGCTCATGTGTGGTTTCTTTTTGGTTTCCCTTCCAAACCTAGGGCCGTCTTTGACGCTCAAAGGTCATGTTATCGTTTGTGGGTCTTGGGTGCCTTTGCTAAGGCTATGATGTCAACCCCGGAGTGAAAAAAAAAAGCTAATTGCACACTTGCCGTGGTTCACCAGGTCTTCCAAAATATACCAACTGAAAGAAGGCAAAGCTGGCTGCTGGCGATTTACTTCTGTGCCCTTCCCCTTCCCCCCCTTCCTCCCTCTACCTCTCCCTCCACCCCCCCCTCCTCTCCCCTCCCGGACCCGGACCCCCCCCCCCCCCCGGGGTCACCTTGTTGAGGTAGAACTCGAAGCCTTTGTGGCCGATCTCTGCCACAGTGCGCCGGAGCTCGTCCACCTCAAAAACTCCCCGCCTTCAGGCAGGGACCCACTGCTTGCTTCTGTCCCCAGCCTTGATTTTGAGACACACCCCTAGGTCCTCCAGATTTGAGAGGTTAGAGGTTAGGGTACCTGTTTGTTTCCTTTTTTTGTGTTGTTCTTCTTTTTCTCTGTAGTCTATTTTATTAGGGGAACCCTCCCAACCAAACAAGGGGAGAGAAGGGCACCACTGGAACACCTAGGCAACAATCGACACTAAACACACACCGGTGACGGAGCGCTCCGTCGCCCTCATGCGGCCCTGGCCAGTCGGAGATATCGTTGACAGCGACACCCCCTTCGAGGGGCATTCTACGTCAGGTAAGTGGTTAGTCAGCCTGCATATAGCGCACATACCATGGTTATGATGTGTTTTTTTAGCTTCCGGTTGTTTGGTGGTTTGGAGCCCGGTGGTTTGGCGGTTAAGGAGCCCATTTACGAATCCAAACCAATCCAAACCAATTAGGGGTTACCTGATGAGTCACAATCAAAACCCGGTATTAAAATGGCCTACCCAGAACCATGTAAAGAATTAAGAAGGCGGAAATCCGCAGAGATTCATGGCAAGGGGAGTATCCCTCACTAACCTTCATCTACCCGGGTTTGATTACGGCTCACCTGGTTTACAGGTTGGTTTGAAGGGACACCAAACGCAAACTACCTGTTTGAGGCTTCCAAATCCAAAGGAAACCGCCTATTTCAGCGTTCCCGAATCCTAGTTAACTCAAGCCACGGCCGTAGCGTAGCCAAGGGTGCCAAACAGGTCTTTACCACACAGCCCTTTACCAACTTAAGCGGCGGAAAAAGACAAAAAACAAGACACTTAGCAGATCTGGCTGTGGCTCAAAAAACCGGTACCAGAATGGAACCCTGGTAAGTGAAAACATGGACCAACACCTGCGGTTTGCCGCTCCTGTTTAATTTTGAGCCACACCCATGTGTCAAAATAGGGGGACCCCAAAAATGTGGACTTCGGGTTTCCTCTCAGTTTCCCTTTACAGCAAGCCCCCAAAATCAGCTACAGTCACTGATTGGTGGTTTGGAGCCCAGTGATCCCCTCGGCTCGGCCTTGTCTTGCGTCTCGCCTTTGTCCCGCTCCAAAGTGGCGCGCATCACCACCAGGGGCCAGACCTCCGAGCCGGAGATTGAGCAATGCCTTCCTCCAGATTTGAGAGGTTACAGGTTAGGGCACCCGATGTCTTTCTCTTCTTCTGCAGTCTACTTTAGTAGGGGAACCCTGCCCAAAAAGGGGAGACCTAGATACCATGGATCTACCAGGCTGATGGTGGATGTGTGTCACTTACCATAAGGCAAGTTGAAAGGGCAAGCTAGGTCTGGCAGTGTCAAACAGCAGTATCACAACAAAACAAGAACATTGCATGTGCTGTTGTTCAAACAAAAAGGTGTGTTTTCATATTGCAGGGGTCCTGACAACATGATGATAGCAAAAACAACCAATCCGAACCCAACTAACTCATGATGAATGTACCTCTACCTGATTCAAGGGGAGTAGGACATTCTTGAGAAACAACACTGTTGCTGTGGTGCGATCTAGTACCTTCAACGTGTCTGGTGTCCTATGCGCAGGGTAAGATGGATAATTTATGCATGAGTAAATGGATTCAGACAAACACCACAAATGCGCTAATGAGAAACGGCATGCGACGGCATGGCATCCAATGTTCAACGTAATGGAATGAAATCAGATGGAATGGAATGGGGTGGAATGGAATGAAGTATGGACTGGACTTGACTAGAATAGCATGGAGGCAATGGCATGAAGCAATGACTGCATGTATGGATGGATGGGCGGATGGATGCATGGACGGACGATTGGAGACAAACAGGCGAAACCTGACTAGACACGAGCGCAAGGGATGGTCTTGAGATGGATCAAGCCACATGGACCCTTGCCAATCCTGGTCAACATTGGACTTGTCCTGTTAGGTTGAACCACCTGTCTGTGACTAGCATCAAGGACCCCAAAAGCACCCCCAACAAGTCCCAAGCAAAACCTAAAAGACACTTCGGGTCCTGCATCAAGTCAATCGATTGAAGCGGGTCCCTTTGACCTCGCTTCAGGTGCCGCGCCTTTCTGGCCGTGGAAACATTTGCCAAATCCCCCTACCGTAGGGGGGCGAGGGGGGTGGGGGTCCCTCAATCCCAAGAATCAAAAGGGGAAAAACAAAAAATGGAGATCTGCGCGGGTCGAAACCCCTCCCCCAATTCCCTTCTAAGGACTCGGTGGAAAATGTTGCCAAGGTGCATACTCAATGTTGTTCACGATGCCTTCGCGGCTCTTTCCAGCAACCTGGGAAGGGCCGGTTTTTCAACTGGGCTGTCCGTTTTCTGATCTCTTGCCAAAAGCTTAACTTGTTGGTTCAATGGACACCCCTCATCAAACCTAAAAAACCTCCAAGTTTCAGTCTCGCGGACGTCAAGCCGCCAAGTCAACAGTTCGAAACCACCCCGACTGCCTTCAAATCGGCATGGGAGCCGCAAAGTGCGTTCAGGGTCTTGGGGTTGCAAAGGCGATGCAGCCAACGCCCTGCTCCAAGTGAGCCTTCTGCTTTGTTAGGCGTATGTTCTGGGTGAATTATAGTATTTCACCAGCCTGAAATAAGGTGGTTGGGGCCTATTCCCCACATAAACCACCATTTGGGGTGAATTGATGTCGCTATAATTCACCCAGGTATGTTGTGAGAACCAGGTTTTCCATGGCAAGCACCTCCTTCTTTTTTTCTGGGGATTGACATTGTGGTCACATCAAGTGGGAATTTGGAGTACGAGGGATCCTTCGGATCCAGATTCAGCCAAACTAAGCCAAACACAACGCCTATGAGGACGTCCATGTTCGACGAATGACCCCTGCTGCTGTATCAAATCTGTATCTCATGGCTACATGCAATTCACGTGCCATGTTCATGATCCCTCGACAGGGATCCTTACATGAAAAACACCTGAACATTGACTTGTAAATGGTGGTTTCCCTTTGTTGTGGTGGAACAAGCCATGTGTCAAATGGGCAAGATGTATCTTTTGAGGAGCCTCAAGAAAATCCCAAACATGATAAATCAACAAAAATGAGGGGTACAGAGACGCACCCCCGTGTGCAAGACAGATAGCAAATCACGGCATCAGGATCGAGCTGCCGGAACTGTCGCATGCCCTTCAATGCCATGCTTAGGCAAGCACCCTCACAAACTGACTGATGGAGTCATTCCCAGTACAAAGCACCTCCACGCTTTCCTTACATTTGCAGTAGAGCCCCCTGGAAACAATGAGCAACTCCTTCCAGTAGTGAAATCGATTCCCCAGGCAGGAACAGGTTGAAGCTTAAATAGACCCTTCACATGAATGCACAAGTGCATTTGTCCCCAGCGAGGATCTTAAGAGAGCTTTCTTGTTTTTTTCACCGAATGTCACACACAGATTTCAAGCGACTCCTAACACAAATCCCGAGCTCTCATAACTTTCCTAGGATGCTTTTTCCCCCCCCCAAAGCTCCCCCCCAAAGCTCCGCCCCCCAATCCTGAGATCCTTGCCGCCAACTCAGGTCTTATTCTGGAACTCAAGATTTGGGGGGGGGGGGGGGGGACCTATATCCTATGAAACTTTCAAGGTCGCCTCCTCGGCTTCAAGCATAGTCTTGGGCTTTTTCTTGCTCCCCTCAGTTGTTGAGTGACCCTTGAAAAAAAGGGAACCCTTTTTGGGGCGGACCATTTTAGTGGGGCAGCCACCGAAAAAAAAGGGGAAAAAGGGAGCCACTGAAGAACTGAGTCCCCAAAACCTTCCCCCAACCAGTCTGAGCTTTGATCACTGTGATATGTCGAAATGCAGAAAGACGCATCTCTATATACCATTTATACAAAATGTTTGTGTCCTATATCTTTGGAATGCGTTCTTAATCGTTTCGATCCACCACCGGATTGACCGTTTAGGGCCACTAACATACACTAACAATGGACTCTCAACTGAGTGGATGGTAGATTTATGGGGGCACCTCTTGGTTGACGTTGGAAGGGGACCAAGAACATATTTTTCAGCAGTTAAGTTAAGATTTCAACCACTAAACCGCAATAAGCAAAAATGGGAAAAATGCTTCCCAACAACAACCATGTTATGGGGGCGCCTTTCCAACCAAGTGGAGGATTCCCTATCCCCAACAGCCCAAAGGGAACCCCCGGAAGCTGCCCCAAACTGCCCCAAAGTCGCCTATCTGGGCAGAAACCAAATCCATAGCTTTCAGTTGTTGGGGAATGAAGCACCCTGTATAACTCAATCAAAAAATGCTGGGGAAGTCCCAGTGTGTATGAGGGTACGTACCCTCAATTCAAATAGACATCCCCTTTCAGATGTGGAGGTATCCCGACAATGGGGACCTTTATTTTTGGATGGTTGCATCAGGTTGCCATTCTTGATACCCCCCTCCCCCATAAAGCATCAAACAGCACTTTCAAGGAGAGAGAAACTCGCCCCCCCCCCCTTTTTCCGCTTTGATTGGTCGGGTAACGACGCGCTCCCCTCTTTGGGTTGGGGAGTTTCCAACCAGCAGCCAGTGATTATAAGCTAGCAGCTAACACCTCCGAAATTATGATGCTGTCAATCATACTGGGGGTAGAATTCGGGGATCTACTTGGATGTTTGGCCGTGGTCAGGGTAAACCCCTAAGTAAGTGGGGTACTGATAAGTGGGAAATAACTTAGGTTACCAACAACTTGCTAACTGTGCGAATCGAACACCCAAGCACCAACGAAAAAAGAAGACAAAAAAAGCCAACTCACGGTAAGGACGGTAAGGGTTTGCTACATGGAAGAGTCTGCATCTGATTCCTACTGTCTGCTTCAAGGAGGAGGCCTAGAGAGTTGTAGGAACACCTACCCGACAAGTGGACTTTTGCCAGAAGCCAATAAAATCTTGCTGGAGGAAAACTAGGGAATGACCCTTATAAACCCTCCAACTGGTGGTTTCCTATTTAAGGGAATCCCGAGGCTCATTCCATTTCTCCTTCCCTGCCTATCGCACCAGCAAGAGAAGCTTCGAGCTGAGCTGCCGGCCGCTGGAAGCCAAAGAGCCAGCCATAGCGCGCGCCTGCGCGCGGCGCGCCAAGAGACGGTTGGATCGCAGGACTGCTCTTGGGGGGTGTTTTTTTTCTTTTGCAGATCCCAAGCAACTCTTTGTTACATGATTCTCCTTGACTTCATCTTGGGGTGTGGGCAAAATTCAAAATATGAATAATAAACTACTATTTCTGGCTGATGTTTAGAACCAGAAGGGACATATAGGGACTGTCTCTTTTTTTGTGAACCCCCTCAAAAACCGCAATAAAGGGGAACCCTCAAAAACAGCCACAGCCTCCTCCCTGGTGAGTATTCTTTGGTAATCTTTTCAGCACACCCCAAGGACGGTGTCTCACTTCCCAAGTTGACTGGCCAAAAAAAGTTTGAACTTTTTATTTACCACTAAAATGGTCTTTCCAAAAAGTTTAAAGTCCACCAACTCAGGAAGTGAGGTGTTTTCCCACGTTCATCCCAAGCACGATGCAAAACGCATCTTTGGGGTTGGAAATTTGACAACGCAGCCATACTGCGGATGGTTGCGAAATCCATTTCGCCCCACTTTGAATCCATGGGTCAGACGCTTGTTTGTTGGTATGCAGAGGGGAACCAAATCATTCCAGGGTTTCTTAGGTGGTGCAGTTGAGATGGATGAAACCCTGTAAATACTGGGATAAACCATCTACAAAGTGGTGCAGGAACTCGTTCATCCACAGTAGGATGCTGGTTTAAAACTTGACATTTCGGGTATCCTTGCCGTTTTGGTCTTCCGGTCTTCCAGGCCCGATTCGGATTCATCGCTGTCTCTCGGAATATGCTGGAGTCGCCGCAGTACTTGCGCTCGGGTACACAGAAAAAGCGTATACTTCCCGATTCTGCTTCCGGTTTGTTCTGCCACAAAATAACTGCAGGTGATCCCCAACGGCTGGGGATCCCTGTTGAACCCTTCCTGAAAGCTGCCCCAAACCAACGAGCCTAGGGTTGATCGACCCCAGAACACTTTCGGCTGGTTCGGAGGCATAGGTGTCCTTTTTGGAAAATAGGTGGCCCTGGTAGATGATTAAACCACCGGGTAAACCAGAGCCTTCTATTTCTTAAGCAAAACCGCCAAACATGACACCTATGTTTGGAGACCTAAGCCCTTTTCCGCTGGCCGTTGCAGACCTCCAAATGCCCAGCCTCGACCCGTTTTTGCTGCAACCCACACGGGTTGAATACTCAGTTGCCCCTTTAGGGACCCAGAAATAGAAGGTGAACCTTGGCGGACGTTGAAAAACTTGGACCAAAACGGGGAAACTAAAAGGCCAAAAGGTCGACGGGTAGCTCCTTCGCTCCCTACCCCAGCTCCTTCGCTCTCCAACCACCAAAAGTGGACAGACGACCTGTTCAAGAGGACCGTCCGACCGTCAGCTTCCAGGTTGGAGAGAATGTTTCTATGTCACTGTGATGTCCATTGAAGAGTCTTAAGTTGCATTCAGATCCAATCGCAGCTGTTGCCCCCAACCATAGGATTCTTCGAGTATGGCCCAAATTTAGTGAATTTTAAATGTCAACTGAGATCAAACTAACCTCAGACATGACAATCAGCGCATTTTGTTGGGACCCCCTTCAAATCGTCGGCCCAGGTTCCCAAAGTCGAACACCAAAACATGTGCAAGGGGAAACGACACAATGTTAGTTAGTTGGCTGTGGGTCAAAAGCCAAATCGTACCCCCAGTGAACATCCCAATCCAACCACTAAAATAGACTAACATGGGTGGTGCACCTACCACAAAATGGGATCCCAGAGGTTTTGACCCACAGCCAGTTCTTGGCAACCTAGGCTACAACTTCTAAGTCCCTGGGACTTAACCTTGCTAATAAAGGGGGAGTGGTACCCATGGCGATCACCACTCGCGAATTTGGCGACTCGAACATCCAAATGCACACATCATGGGGTCGCCGCCAATGGTCCAAGCCCAGGCCTGTGGAAGCCTAGCAGAAAATAAAAAGAGGTCTGGTTGACCTCTAAAAAATCAAAAACACCCAAAGTTGTTGGAAAATCAAATCAAAAACAGGTCTGGAAAATCGAACACCACAACGAGGGACACACCCAAAGTTCACGCCCCGTCGATACGCTTTGGTAGATGCGCAAGTTGCGCCCAACCCTTGGCGGCCTGGAACGTGATAGATTCCCTTTCAAGCCAGGAGAAAACTTACTGGGCTGCCCGTTTTCAGATCCCCCGCCAAAAGTGACTAACTAGTCGGTTCAATGGAATCCCCACTAAACCAACTAAAAAGCTAAAAAGCTAAGGAACCGGATGGCTGGGAGCCACCAAGTCAAGTATGTTCATAAGCAAAAGAACATAAGCTATGAGCAACCACTGGACCTCCTAACCAACGTTGCGGCCTTCGCGTCTTCAGGTCACCTCTAAACAACCTCCAATGCCCTGCCTGCCGCATGCGCCGGCCATGCTCTTCCATGAACGAAGGAACCCCCGTGCGAACAAAGGACGTGATGTGTTTTCTGGGTAAATCTTGAGTATGGTGACGGTTTTGGAGTATGGTGATGGTTTTTGGACTGCCTTTAAAACAAAAACGTGGCTACCAAAAAGCAGTGCTACAACTGCCTTTTGTCTAGTACAGTGACTTAGTTACCCGATTTTCAAGTACCTACTAAAAGGGTGCCCATGTTTATACTCGCCAAGATCTTGAAAGAACAAACTCGGATTTGTCATCTCCAAATTCTTGCTTGTGAGATTAGGTGGCAAACACAACTCCTTTCCAAGCTGCTTGACATGCCCGAAACACAAAGGTGAACATATTGGGGGGCATCTTTGCTGGCTGCGAACCTGATCAATGGCTCAGCTTCTGTGAACACAGGAAACGGCTTGCCATGGGTCTGCACTTTCTGTCGCGCCGAGTCTCAGTGCACTTCTCATAAACTTATTCTAGTAGGGCTCCAAGGGGGGCGGGGTGTTTCCATGCTGTCCAACACGCCTCTTGCTTGCGTTTCAAAATCCCCGTGGGCGTGATCCCTATGGCTTGCTGCGACACAAAAGCAGAAATGCTGCCTGGTTGCTCAGCAGCGAGGAACTGACAAAACACACACACACACACACGCACCTCAGAAGGCCTTATATGTAGATACTATATTGAACAATCCGTAAACACATGTGGGTGTGGCTCAAAATTAAATAGGAGGGGTTATGCAGGTTTTGGTCCATGTTCATCTACCAGGGTTCCATTTTGGTACCGGTGTTTTGAGCCATAGCCATGTCTTAATAGGGTCTGTTGTCAACACCCCCTGAGGGAGTGGTTCTTTGCAGCAGGGAGTGGATCCATTCTCAGCCAATGGACACTGAGCTCTGGGAACAGCCCTGGCATATCGCTTCAGTTTCAGAATGTTTCAGATCCCCTGCTAAAAGTTTTACACTTTGCGTGGGTGAAATTTGGAACACCAAAAGGCGAAAAAAAGCTAAATTGAACCGGATGGCCTTCGGGAGCCAAACAACATTAACAGGGATCCGGATGCATTATACACCTGAACATTGCAACTTGTAAATGGTGGTTTCCCTTTATTTCGGTGTTGAAAAAGCCAGCCATGTCTCAAAAGGTGGCAAAATGTATCTTTTGAGAAGCCCTGCTGAATGACCCGAGGAAGCCAAATACTTGTCTGTTTAACTCCACTTCCCAAACCTGGTTTCCAAAATGGAGATCGTTTGTTCGGAGCCCGGAGAAATCTCCGCGGTTTTTGGGGGGTACCTGTCCAAGAAGGAAGCCCCTGGGCGCAGAAGCAACAAAAACTTCGAGGTGAACGACATGGCCATGTAAACAAATCTTTTGGACGTCGAGGTCTTCCAGATTTGAGAGGTTAGAGGTTGGGGTACCCATTTTTTTTTCGGTTTGGTCTATTTTAAAGGTGGGGAAGCGAATCTCCCCCCCAAAAAGGGAGAAAGGGAACTACTGGGGGACCTAGCTGTGCAGCAAATGACATCGAAATTGAGGCATCCTCGGGTAAGTTATTTTGTGGGTTTTCGCTCGTAGTAGGAATTGGTCAGCTCGGTTTTCGTTGGCCTGGGCCAACTATCATGCACCAATTCCGAGTTCCGAATGTAAGAGTTTGGCCGAAGCGGTCGATGTCCTTCGCACTTTGACAACTTCACGATTGAACACCCTTCGACAGGGAGAGTGAGTTGGGCCGGTAAGTAGCTTATAACCCAGTACTAACCACTTCAAGCTTAACTTCTGCTCGGTCCCCAACTAGGGACGCTCCAGGTTTTGGAGAAACATACTAGGTCCTCCAGTAGAGAGGTTAGAATAAGGGTAGCCTTTTTCCTGTAGTCTAGTTTAGTAGGGGAACCCTCCCCCCAAAAAGGGACTACTGGGGGACCCAGTAAACCAGGGTTCCGGCCCAGGGGCTTCATAAAGGAAATGGCTCTGCAGACTGGACCCTCCAATGGAGAACCCCAGCCCCAACCCGGGACCCTCAAACACAACCTATTTTAAGGCCCCCAAAGCAGTCGGGGCCCTTTGGGCAGAGGGTCGGCTTCCATCCTGGTGGCCTGGCTTGTTCATAGGCCTGATACCAGCTTTCGTGGGTTACCGCTTCAGAAAACGAGGATATGTACCAGCGTCTCCTCTAAACGAGGATATGTACCAGCGTCTCCTCGCAAACGTTGACCCATGGTTTCATTTCGTAGTGCGGAAAAAAATGTCGTCCATCCGCAGTAGTGTTTATCCCAAGGGACCCTCGCCGGTTCCCCGGCAGCTTTCATCCGGGCTTCCGACCAGTACCTCGCGACTCGTAGGGCCCTTAGGGCGAGTTCGCGAATTCGCGAGCTCGCCACCCGCGCAAGCGCGCAGCCTTCCATGTCTTCCAGTCCCCAGAAAAGGCTCCGAAAATTGAACTACAACTGGAATTCCAGGGGTCAGCCCCTTCCCTCGATTCCCAATCTTTAAGGGGTGGGGATGCAACGAGCAACGTCTACTCCCTCCCACTACCCACGTTTGTCAAGGCATAGGGCAATGTCGACTCCATATTAATCAACCCCCTATTATGAATAGGGGGGGTGCTTTTCCCCGATTCTAGGGGGGATCAAACCACTTTTGGAGGGGCCCTCACCCCTCGAATTTAATAAACAGGTTGGTTGATTGATATGGGGTCAACATCATAGTGGCAAATCATAATTGGATCTGATAGCCCTGGAGCATCTGGTTCTTAAAGATCGCCAACAAAGCTCGGGTATGTGGAGTATGGCGTGTACGCTTGTTCGTGCTGTTGAAGGTCTGGGTTCCATTTGTTGATGTCCCCGAGGTAGAACAAAGAGGGCTTCCTGTTGCACAGAATGAACCATAGGCTGGTTTTCAGCTTGCCTTAAGTAATCAGAACATGACTCCCTGATTGAGGGTCTTCAAAAGAATCCTCCAATTGCAGCCAGAATTCATTCACACCCAAGAGAGCACCTGAAACGAAGGGCTCTCTTTGAAGGAAACTTCTGACGAAATCAATCTCCTCTGGATAAGGTTCCCCGGTCCCTTTAAACATTACCCCGTAAACAGAAACCAATAACATCGGCCACGCACCATAACAGGAAAATATCGGTTGGTCTCAAAGCGGGTTACAAAGACCTTGCCATCCTCATGAAACTGGGCAGAACCTATCGATTTGCTGTGGGTAGGTGCCCCCCGCAGCTATCTTTCAGCCAAACCCATGGTCTTCACTTAGCCCGTGGACCCACTGCGACTTGTTCCATTCGCCCCACAAAACAACGTTCGTCTCAAACAAGGTGACTCCGCACATGGGTGTCCTGTCGGGATTCCCTTATAGGTTTCCATATTCCATGGGGCCTGTTTTTTTAGGAATCGGACCACCAAAATGGCGGCAACGGTTTTCGTTTTCTTCTCCCTAAGCCCCAAAAAAGGGGACCAACTCCAACAAAAACAGGCACATCCACCCAAAGGGTCCGGATTGATTTGCGGGCCTTAAAATGCGTCGTTTTTGAGGGTCCCGGGTCGGGGTCCGGGTTCTCCATTGGAGGGAGGGGTCTGCATTAGAGCGCTCATGACCCTTGGGGCATGTGAATTTGCCGGGGAAGTAGCCTAGGTCCTCCAGAATTGAGAGATTAGACTAAGTTGGTACCAACTTGCTGCTGTCTATTTTAGTAGGGGAACCCTCCCTCCCCCAACCAAAAAAGTTGGGTTAAGAAGGGGACCAATTGCTGGGGGACCTGGTTAGTAGCCCTCCGGCGCCAAGGCAATTAAATTTTTGCAAACTGGCTGGACGGTTTTGGCGCGGCCGGGGCGCATCGGTGGAAGTGGCGCGGGGGCCCTGAGAGGCACGCAGCAAAGCAAAGCGGGGCCCGGCAAACGACCCGAAGGTGGACCCAGATGCACACCTGGTTGATTTTAATACTGTGGACGAATTCCCCAACGTAAATACCAACAAACAAGCGTCTGACCCATGGTTTCAATGTGGTGCGAAATGGTTTTCGTCCATCCACAGTACGGGAGAGTGTTTGTTTTCAGAGGAAGGCCGAGCCACTTTTGGACTCTTTTTGGAGGAAACACCCACTACTCCACCGGGTTCTTAGCAATCCAGTAGTGGCGTCAGGTTGGTTTAGAGTGGGGCTAGAGATAGGCTAGGATTGCTGTAGGATTTGTTCACGGTATAGGTTTCAGCACAGGTTTAGGCGCGTAGCGTTTTCAAAAGGTGGGCCTGGAGCGACTTTAGGGCGGGCTTCGGCTTTCCTTGCCGCCTGAATGTCACCAGTTTGTTCCATACCTGCGGAGCCATCTACAACGAACTGAATACACCTCCACATACCTCCACTAACAGCAAGTGGCTAGTGAACCCGGTTGGGTAAGTCCGACGGCCAGAAAGTAGTCAAACCTTCTTGCTTGCTACTCAAAAAGTAGAAAGTTCCAGAGAACTCAAGAAGTGAGTCATAGGATTCAGCTGTCGATTCGATTGGGTCTTTCGGCCATCTCGAGCAGAAGGGCATGGAAAGCTATCCGTGGCAAAACTTGATCCCCCCACGTTTTCTCAAGCTATGGGGTATGATGTGAACGGCTGGCTGAGCAGGAGGTATGACAATTGCCCCTGGGTTTTCTCCCAGGTTTTCAAAAACAACTAAAAACAAACTGCTAACAAAAACACCGGTGGTTGGAGTCGTAAATAAGCAAGCTGGTGGTTCCCTGCCAAAGTGTGAAGCAGAAACTCATTGGGCTAGGGTTGCATGATGCTTCAAGGGTTCAAATAAGGTCCCTCGGCAAATAGGAAAGTCCAGATCGACGTGACGTCCCGACACGTGCTATTTATAACAGTGACACGATGCTCGCCAGCTTGTACCTTTAAAGACCACCAAAGGAAAGTCGCTGAACACTGGTCAACACGGTCATCGAAACTTGGTTGATGTTGACCCTGCAAACTGTAATAACCTTTTGTGGGTCCAATTCGGAAAAAGCCACAAAGGCTCAACCAAGTTGTTCAGTCCAAAGATCCGCTACCAGCTAGCCATGAACGGATGGTAGGGGTTCTGGGACAGTCCTGGGTTCTGTAGAGAGGCTAGAATAAGAGCACCAACTCTTTTTTCTGTAGTCTATTCTAGTAGGGGTCCCGAACCCTCCCAACCAAAAAAGGGGCGAGAATGGGCACCTAGCTGGGCGACCTAGAAGTGGTATCAAACAACATACACATGCCCTCGGTGTCCAGCCAATGGGCCAAAACACGGCCGATCTAGTACTAGCAAGTGAATCGGCCGGGTCCATCGCACTGTGGATGCCCATAGGGAGCAAAAGGCACTCGATGTTTGAACCCCGGGGTTCAAATCACCGTTACAACAGGACAGGACACCAGCGTGCGCTTTTCTATGTGGTTGTTTCTTGTTTCTTTAAAAGAAAAAAAACACGATATGTCGCTCTCTAAAACAAATGGGGGTTCATGAACCCACCAATGTTTACCTAAGGATTGTCCTCCAAATTGGGGCCTTGGTATTCTTTTAGTGGGGGCACGGAATCCTATGTTGACGGGGACCCCCTTTGCCAATGCTGGGACAAAAAAACGGGCACCACGGGATCTTCTGGAAACACCTGACTTGACTGTATGTCACTTTTCTTGGTACGGCAGCACCACACTTTGTTTCGGCAGCCGCCCAAATAATCATCGAAACCAAAAGAAACACCTACAAACCTCAGCTCATGCTCCAACAGTGAAGTTCAGCATCAAGAACAAGGAAGGCAAGACTCATTTGATTCGTCCAGCCCCAAGCCCCTGCCTCCGTGACTCTGCCAGGAAGGTGGTAGCACTACTGCCCTAAGCCCTGAAAATCGTGGGGTGGTAGCCAATCAACTTCCTGAACCGGGGGAGCTCCTAGAAAACCTTTCCAGGGACAGTGGTTCCAATTCATTTCCTGTTGTCTGTGGGTTATAAAGGAAACCTTTCAAGTGGTCCAGTTTGGAAGTCATTTCAACTCGTGTTTTGCTGTCTGCGGGTGGAAGAGGGGGGCATGACCATGACTTCCCTTTTGCAGCAGGATCTCTCTTAGTATCTGGAACTAGATGTCAGATGACAGAAAAGTGCTTTGTCAAAGGAGGACTGTTCTCACTGGTGGGAACCACCTAGTGGCGGACCAATTCATTTAAAGTTGTCCTTTTCACAACCCAAAAATCGAATGTCCTTGGAACTTCTCTGGAACTGGGCTGTCAGAGAACGGGGTTGGGTAGAACCGAGTCAGTCCTGTTTGACACATGTTCGCCTGAGCATTGCTTGAGCCGAAGGCAGGAGGCAGAAGTGACGTGGGCGGTCGGCAACTTGATCAAGGCCCAACCCAAAAGCGTGCTCTAAAAAACTTACTCAAAATCACATTCCTCTCCCCAACACAAGTACAGTAGGATTAATACTAGATATCGCTCTATATTAAACTTATGCACATCTATACATATATCGCTCGATGAATATATATATATATACACATATGTATAAACATATGTGTATCTATGCACATACACGTGTCCGTTTATCAAGCGTGTTGGCAACCCGGGAGCCGGCTGGACGTCAGACTTCGGTGAGGCTTCACGTTCTTCAAGTTCACGGGCACAAGTGCTTGGTTGACGTTGGGTTTGGGGAGCAAAAAAGTAAATTTTAGCTGTTAAGTGGTTGGATTTCAACCACTAAATACCACAATAAAAGCAACAATTGGAAAAATGCTTCCCGACAACAACCATTCTTCTGTGTGGGGCTCACACCCAGAATTGAGGGGAATGAACACCTGCAGAAACATGGTAACATGGGCTAGGGCTCAAATAGGTTCCTGAACAGGGATTCGGATGCATTATACACCTGAACCTTGCCTTGTAAATGTAGGTGTCCCTTTATTTTGGTAGAAAAGGCAACATGTGTTTCCCTTTATTTTGGTGGAAAAAAACAACATGTGTCAATTGGTTGCAAAATGTATCTTTTAAGAAGCCCTGCTGAATGACCCGAGGAAGCCAAATGCTGTTTAACTCCACTTCCCAAACCTCGGTGTAGAACCAACCAAAACGTACGTAGCGTTTGTTTGCAGCCCGCTGAGCATGAACAGAGCCAAAAAGCTAACAAACCAAACAACCAAATCACCAACCAAAGCTCACCTGAAATCACCAATTGGGGGGAAAGTTCTCACCACCTAAGTCACCCTGGAATGAGGGGTCCCTTGCAAAAGAAAGGAACAATGGCTTCCCATGGGTTCAAAGTGGTGCAGGATTGTGTCCATCCACAGGAGCAACGGGGACTTACTTTGTTTCTTTTGCCGGAACAGTAGAGAAAGAGACGCGCGTGATATTTACCCGTAGCCATCTCTACCCAAATCTTGATGGCCATTAACCCCCGCCCCCAAGAAAACACAAACTTTTGCAGGCTATAGTGGAAAACAATTTGTTCCAAAAAGTTAAACAACTTCTGCGCAATGGCTTGTGGGAAGATTGTCAGTTTTCAATCAAACTTCAAAGGTTCACAAAAAAGAAAGAAATAAACATTAAAAAACAAAAAAACAAAAACAGAGGGAAAAAAGGGGAACCCCACCCCCCGGAAAAAAAAAAGAAGAAGAACAAAAAACAACGGGAATGGGGGTGGACCTCTGCGAGGGTAAGCTCCGCCAGTCGCCAGATGATGAGGAAGCAGTCGCCTGGGAAAAAAAAGGCGAACGGCGAAATTTCTTCGACGCCGGCAAGTATGGAATCCCTACAGGACAGGGGGTGGTTCAAAGGGGGAGGTCCCTAAGATTCCAACCAGCAGCCAGTGATTAGAATCAGAAGCTAACACCTCCGAAATTCAGATGCTGTCAATTAGATGTTTTTGTAATAACAGGAAGCCCACATTTACGGGGACTCAGTGGGTAAATACTAGCTTGGCGAACACCCAAAACGGGGTGGTTCAAGGGCGAGGATTCCCCAAGCCTCACCCCAAGACACCCTAAGGAACCCGACCGAAATCTAAGGCACCCGAAATCGGGGCTCTCAAACCCATCCTTGTACCTACCCCCCCTGAATGGGATTCCCAGAAACCAAGCGCTTTTACACCGATCGTCAAGGAACACCTTGGACAACCCAGCTACTTCAGAACCTTCGGGTATGATGTCGTGGAACAGGAGGGAGATTACCAGGAACAACGCACTTGCTGCGTGGATTGGCCAACCAAAGCCCGATTGATTTACCACTAAAACGCCTTCCCAAAAGGGGTAAAAAGTCCAGGAACTTCGGGAGTGAGACAAGAACCAGTTGAAATATCAACGAACAAGAAAGGTATTTGGAGTAAAGCAAGCATTGAGCCCCTTACTTTAAGGGGCAGGGTACTTAGTAAGCGGCTAGTAAGCCTGGTTAGAGCCGACTTGCCATGGTTATAAGTGTCCTAAGAGCCTTATAACCAGGCTGGCCGAAAAAGAAAAAACAAAAAAGAGCCATGAACTCCACCTTGGGAAGTGAGCAACTCGTGGCTCAAACCTGGGCAACGAACAGATGTCTGTTGAGATTCCGGCAAACCTATGTGTCGTCGCAATCTGACGCAACTTAGCCCAGATTTGCGCAACGCTGCGGTCCCTGAAAGGCCAAAAAGGAGCACAAAGGCCCCAAGAAGAAAAAGAGAAGACCACCCGGACCCTCAACATTCTAACTTAAACATTGGTCATTGCAATCCAAAAGTAGGTCCTCCAGTAGAGAGGTTAGAACAAGGGTACCCTTTTTTATGTAGTCTATTGTAGTAGGGGACCCTCCCCCAAAAAAGGGTAAAAGGGCACTACTGCGGGACCTAGAAAAGTTGGTGAATCCCCCTCTTTTTCATGGGTAGTTTGAGGGTGGCAGCCAGTCAGCAAGCCCACTGAGTTTTCTCATGCACTGAACGAGGTCGTAAGTCGGGGTCCAAGCTTACAAAACCCCGACGCTCACAGGAGTGATTCAACGCAACCGTCAAAAACGATACGTATAGTTTCTTCCATTTGCTTAAGCTTCCTGGGACAAAAAAACAACGCATATGTCCAGTAATGATAGATTCCCTTTGAAACCAAAAAGAGAAAGTAAGTGCCAGTCCAAAGTAAAACAGTTGACATGTGCAGTAAAGGCCCCCCCTGAATGGATGTGGACTCATGCCACAAGGAAACCACCTCCTCCAGCTATTCCAGGTACATTTTGACAAAACCGTGTGTTCTATTGCAAAAAGCATGTTGTTTGGTCAGGGGCTAGCATCAAACCAACAAAGTTGGCTAGGTTGATACTGTTGACCCCAGATCTAAGCAGAGCCTGTCCTATTGGCAGTGCTCCCCTCCAAAAGTCTGACCCACCACTAAACGGGGATCCCGCATGATCCAAATCAACCAAGAAGTTCTGATGAATCCGGGGCTCCCATACTGGGCGGTCTTCAGATCCCCTGCTAAAAGTGAATAACTTTGAGTGGGTTAAATGGACTCTCACCCAACTAAAAGCAACTAAAAGCCTAAGGTTGAAGCGATCGATTCGCTGGGCAGCTGCCAAGATTAGAACTCAAGTCCCCTGGAAAACATTAGCAAATATGTCCAGTGGTGATTTCGATTCCCTTTAACACCAACTGGAGAAAATAAAACACATATTCATTTCAGCAAATGGAAGATTAGAGATACCCCGCGACCCTCCCACCCCCCCCCCCAAAAAAAAAAAAACAGAAAGAAAAGACAAAGAAAAACAACAACAACCAGGTGGTTCCGCTTCATCTGCCCCCCTCCCCCCCAAAAAAAACGGAAAGAAAAACAACAACCAGGTGGTTCCGCTTCATCCGGGGTTCCTACTAGACATGCTCTGGACCTTCGCCCTTTGAGCCCGGCGCCATCGTTCTTGTTCACCGCGCCCCAGCATTCGTCCACGACTCCATGGACGATCTCAGCGATCTGGTTGACGAAAGTCATCACCTGTTGCAGGGTCAGAAACCACCAGAAAGACAAACGAACTTGTTTGAACATCTTTAAAGCTACATACGAGTGTGTCTTCAAAAAAAGGGACCCCAAAATGGATGGTTTTCCCTTTCATTCTCTTTAGAACGTCGCCTGCTGATGGTGATCCCATATGAATCAACCCCAGTTTACTAGGGTGTCCCAATCATGTGAAATGTGGGGAATCGGACCACTTTTGGACTATGGGGTCAACATGATAGCATACCTCCCACAGGCGATTCCATGGAAGCTCCAGGACCAATTCCTTTCTTTTGAAGACGGGTCCGTTTCTCGGTTGCGAAATCTGCGAAGCCCTGCTAAAAGTGAATAACTTTTAGTGGTTTAATGGAAAACCCATGAGTTGGCAAAAAGTTAAAGTCCTAACAGCCAAGCAAAATGCAACAAAGGTTTATAGAGGCCAATTGGGGGAGAGTGTACAGAGTCAGAAACCACCAGAAAGCCAACTTGTTTGCTCTCCCAACTTGTTTTGGCTTTGATCTTATGGACCAGATTCGGCTTGTTGCAAAATAAGGGACCCTCAAAAGCAGTTGGTGTTCTTACTCCACCCCAAGAAGGGTAACCTCAAAAAGCAACACCCCATATTGGTCCGGACAGCAAAGCGAAGCCTCCACATTCAAAAGGCTCCTTCAGGAAGCTTCTCCATGCCGCGCCCTTTTTTTGGGGGCCATCTCCTTCAAAAAGAAGCTGGGCAAAGGAAGAGCAACACTGGAGCTAAGAAAATAAGCTCTTGAAAGCGCTTGGATGGAAAAACTGCTCTGGTGGGTAGAAGGCCCAAATGATTAACCCTAGCAAACAGCAAAACCTTGGGACCCCAATTCATAATTTAATTCCGACTGTACAAAACAGAGCTAGGGGAACCCCCACCCCCATCTTCCCCTTAGAATGCACAGGCCTTTCCTTGCCCCAGTGCAACACCAACTTTTCACCAGGGGATCGCAAAAGGCCATATACATTCAGCCTTTCGCCGTGCAACAAAAAGGGTAGAAGGCCTTGCACATCTTGAAAACAGGACTTTTCCCCAATGGGTTCCCTTTTACTCCACCCTGAACCGGGTACGACTCAACGACTCAACGAACACGTACCCAGAGTCCGTTGAGCTCCCGAAACGCCGCGCGGGCACCGATCCGTCCGCGACCCCAGATCTTTCAGCGGAAAAAAAAGGCGCCCTCGAACCAAAGGGGAACTCGCCAAGCCAGAGGCTCCCATTCGATTGAGTTGGGGCCTTCAAACCACCTGGTTTTGAGGCCTTTGGTTCCAGCCACCAATTCCGGCTTTTCCATTGAAAGCCGAAGCCGATCGGAGCCTCTGGGGTGTCTAATGGAGGGGTCGGGTCTTCCATTGAAAGGTTCAGGAGCCTCTGGGAACCATATTTGTTGGGTTGCGAAAACCCAGTAAGTTGGAACCTTGAGGCTCTTGAGGCTTCAGGACTTCGAGGGCACCTCGGTTTTTCCCCGGGTTCCCGCCCTTTCCCCCCCCCAGGAACGATGGGAATCGACATGATTGTTTTTCTCTCCAGAGGTTCACCCAAGGCTTTCCCGCACCTGCAATCCCCGGCTCCAACTACCCGTTTTCTGGGCGGCCCGTTTTCAGATCCCCCGTTCAAAGTTTAACTTCTAGCGGGGTAAATGGAAATCCAACCACCAAACCAACTAAAAAGCAAAACAGCTAACAGGGATCCTTACATTTTACACCTGAACATTGCCTTGTAAATGGTGGTTTCCTTGAATTTTGGTGGAAAAAGCCATGTTTCAAATGGTTGCAAAATGGAGATCTTTTAAGGAGCCCTGGCTAAGGAACCGGATGGCCTTCGGGAGCCACCAAGTATAAAGCTATGTCCAGGGCAAATGCTTCGAGACCACGCTGCTTCGATTCGCCTCGATCTCGATTCGCCCGATTCGCTTGCGATCCGTGCCTTGCCCTGCAGCACCTCCGTGGCAGTGGAGAAGTTCAGGATCCGCGCCAGGCCCACCTGCGAAGCGTTCAAGGTTCCGGCGAGGCCGTGTTGGGTTGGAATTGGGTTTCTGTTTTTTTTTGTTTCCCCTTTTTTTCCGGGGGTTGAGTTTTCTTGGGTCACTTGGGTTTGGTTGTCAACACCTTGACAACAAAAGAGGCATTTACCACCAAAGGAGGTATTCTATTGCAACAGAAGGATGTTTGGCAGGACAACCAGGCCTTTTAAACTGGACTCCGAGTTCTTTTTATTGGAATAAACAAAACAGCTCCCGGCTTTGCGTAAATATACTTCGGTGGCGTGAGCAAACGGCCCTGGCTCCAAATTCCCACTCCAAATAATTGCCCACTTTTTCTAGGGTATTTGTTGGGAAACCCTGGTTTTTCAAGGTAAATACCTCCCTTTTTAGTAGGTCGACATGATACCCTAAAAAAAGGTGAGTATTTGGAGTCGAAAGTAGCTCTTGGTGCTCCCGAGGGCAGACCATCTGGTCACTGGAAAATTCTCGCTTTGGCCGTGGGAGGATCGCTTGGTTGACGTTGGAAGGGGAGCAACAATTCTCAAAATTTAGCAGTTAAGTGGATGGATTTCAACCACTAAACCACAATAAGACAACAACCTCGTTTTGGCCGTGGGAGGATCAGAGCAGCTCTGTGACATGGTTCCAGGTCGTGTATCGGAACAGCGGTGGACATGTTGTTTGCCGCCATAGGAGCCCTTTTGAAAAAATGGATGGCCCTGGTTGTTGGAATAAAACCAATCAAAACCAGTGGAACCCATATCTATTTCTAACCAAACTAAGAAAGACACCTATGCGTGTAACATGTTTCAGGTATATAGGAGACGTGGTGTAAAATGGCTGCCTCCCCTTTCCGATCTTTCTTTAATATTGGGATTCCCCATCAAGACTTGCCACTTGACCCTTCGCATGAAATGAAAGCTCCGGCAGCAAACTTCTGTTAGACAAATATGGGATGCAGGTGGATCTTCACATCCCAGAGAACTTGCCTGACAATAACTCACTTCCGAAAAGTGGACTGGCCACACAAAGTCTGAACCTTTCTTTTCTAATACAACCAACATGGTCAAACAACTAGGTCCTCCAGTAGAGAGGTTAGAATAAGGGCACCCTTTTTTCCGTGATCCATTTCAAGTAGGTGAACCCTCCCAAAAAGGGTACCCTCTTTCCAACAATCATGGAAGTGCACAAGGCTCCCCAAAAGGAAATGAGTCTTCCAGAGCTCTCCTGTCAAGGGAAGCCAGCATCTCTCTGAGGGCACCGCGATGCAGTCCACCATGGAGCCTGCGCGAGAGAGCGAGAGAACGAGAAATCCGGAGCTCCAAGGAAAGCACGGAAAAGCCACCTGGACCCTCAAACTACCCATAAAAATGGGATATCACCCCATATTTTTGGGGGTCAAACCCATTTTTAAGGGAATTTTGAGGGTTCAGCCACTCCGTTTTGGGTTGGTTGAAAGGGACACCGACAGGAAACCGATACTTTTCTCAGCTGTTCAGTGACCCTGGAAAAAAAGGGAACCCTTTTTTGGGGCTTGGGCAATTTTAGTGGGGCAGCCACCAAAAAAACAGTTGGAAAAATAATTGGAGCCACTGAACGACTGACTTGTGCGTCCTCTTATTTTCACATATTCCCAACTAGCAACGGTGCTGGTTCATTGAACTTCTACAGGGATCCTTACATTATAATACACCTGAACATTGCCTTGTAAATGGTGGTGTTCCTTTATTTTGGTGGAAAAAACCATGTTTCAAATGGGCAAAATGTATCTTTTGAGGAGCCCTGTTCTATGGCTGTCACCCAGTGCAAAAAGCTTTGTAGCGCTGGTGTATGTTTGTCTAAGCATCACCCAGGAACGTCTTCACCAAACTTGGCTCAAACAATAAAACTCTTTATGTAGCCATATGTAGCCATTCTTCGCTTGATAGGAACACTGACCCAGCTTGATGCCATCCCTATGCCTGTTTTTACCTGTTAAAAACGATGCTCTCGGACGAGCACGCAAGTGGTTCGTCAAGAAAAACCCTGAAAGGAGTCCGTTGGGACGCTAGAAAAAGGTTGAGGCTGATGTTAAAGACCGGAGTTGGAGCATCTTAGCTGGGCTGTCCCCTGAAAGTTGGTTAAACTTTCCGTGGGTTAAATGCGGAAATTCCCACGCTCGAGTCTGCATAGACGGCGAGAATCAGACACCCGACAAGGCTTAGCATAGATCCCTCGCTACGTGCCGCCACAAAAGCTCTGTGTCTTTAAGCCGCTTTGCAAAGCGTAGGAGAGTGCTTCACATTTTACCAGTAAGCAACCACGGGAACCAGCGCTTGAAAATAAAAAGGAACATAGATGGTTACCTACTATAGCAATAACCGGGATCCATTGGGTGCAGGAAGAGGGCTCACTTTAAGATAGTGTTTTGTCGACCGTAGTAAGTTGGGCAGCCTTGTGTCTTTGCAATACTCTTGCTGAATGGCCTTGCGCATCAAAACTAGGACCAGTGTTTTTTGTTTTTGTTTTTTTGTTTACTTGTTGTGAGCAGGTGCTGCATTGTCACACATGAGCAAAGCGCTTTAAGGTCACGGATTTCCGTGCTTTGCTTCTCAAACATCTACGCCAACGAAAACCCTTAAACAACAAAAAGCAGGTATTTGGGGGAATGCAGTTGGGTGAAATCAGATAACACACTTCCCCCATTTTGGTTTAGTCATCCCCTTCACTTCCCCCCATAGCGGGCATTGTGCCATTTACTTTTGGCCTAGTGTACCCCTGTAGTTGGTAAATAACTACACATTGACATGTTCCTTTTGGTCTTCTCAGGGTGGTCACATTTGTTGCATGCTGTAAATGGAAGAACTGAGCCTAGTATTGAAGCGGTTTACCCAGAAGAAAAAAGAAGACACATACCCTTCATGTGCAAAGGATAACCCTCAGTATATTAGGCAGCAGCCCAAAAAACATATTGGTCCTGTTGCGAAACCAAAGGGAACATCAAAATCTACTTGTGGAGTCCGCTAGTTGCAGACCTGCCCATCAAAACATTCCAAATTGTCAAAAACTCCAACCCTGAAGAAAGTGGGCTTCAACCATGTTGTTCCGCCATTTTGCTAAGGCTACTTCGATGTTCGATTCCCCAAGTTAGTAAGTGGTGGGTTCTACAGGGCTAACCCCGCATTCACGGAGCACTTATAAGCTAACCTATAAGTGGGTTACAACTGAACGGCTACCAACTTACTAACTTGGCAAATCGAAGACCCGTAGGAGGTATCAAGCCTTGATTAAAAAGGGGATCGGTATTTAATCTGTAAAACCAGACTCTCCGAAAACTATCCTGATATTTGGAGCTTTTGGTCACCCCCCACCCCCCACCCACCCTGCCTCCACCACCCCCAGCCCCCCCCACCCGGCAAAGGCCTTCTACCATGGCGTTCACCCCCGAGTTGGCCCCGGCCATGTTGGAGCTCACAATGTTGGCCCCCGCCTGCGGAAAATCGAACAACTCAACTCGCAGGACTCGAAGCGAGTCGAAGGTGGAACTGGTCCCAAATGTCTGGGGCGGGTTCGGGGTACTCAGGCCTTCTGGAACTCAAGATTTGGGGGGGGGGGGAGCTTTGGGGGGGGGGGGGGATAATCCTATGAAACTTTCAAGGTCGCCTCCTCGGCTTCAAGCATAGTCTTGTCCTTTGTTGCTCCCCTCAGTTGTTCAGTGACCCTGAAAAAAAAGGGAACCCTTTTTTGGGGCTTGGACCATTTAAGTGGGGAAGCCACCAGAAAAAAAGGTTGGAAAAAGAATTGGAGCCACTGAACAACTGAGGGTAGCGCCACCAGAAAAAAAGGGGAAACACGGAGCCACTGAACAACTGAGGGTGGATGGAGAACAAAAACCTCAGGGAGCCCTGAAACGATTGGATTGAAATTCTTGGGGCACCCGTTCGGGACCTGAAAACACAACGAAGGGATCCTGTTGGCTTCCATGTTCTTCCATTTGCAGTAGAGGCTGCACATGACAAATAAAACTGTTCGTAGTAGTGAGACATTCCCTGCACTCTCTTTGAAACAACCGAGGGAAAATAACACAAATAATCTTAAGCAAATAAAAGTGTTGCGGGAAGGAGGGTTCAAATGATCTCCCCACATAGGAAGTCCATGAACTTGGGAAGTAGGTTCCTGCATTCAATGTGCATTCGAGGTGTGCCTGTTTTCCCAAAATGGCACGAAGGCTGTGACTGATGCGTTCTTTTTTTTTTTGTGTGTGTGTGTGTGTGTTTGTTTAGTCTTCCAGTCGTAGCTACCTGATCGGCATCATGGTGACCTTTGGACCCCAAAAATATCCGTTGGTTTCTCTTTACAAAAGCCGAACAAGGGTACCCGGAACACAAACAAAAAAACACCCCTATGAAAGCGTAGATGGCCATCATTCTGGACGGCGAGCAACCAGGTGCCTTGTTGTCTGACCCCTACTCCAAACACTCAATTTTCATGGGATATTTGAAAAGCCTGGATTTTCATGGTAACTACCTCCTGTCTTAGTCAGAGATTGACATCATTGTCCATCATTGATAGGATTTCTCTTGGTTCCCATTGAAACAGAGGTCACTGGATTTCCCCTTCAGCCACTTTTGGAGGCTCCCGAAAGGGAAATGGAGGAGGAGGAACCCCTGTAAAACCCCCAATGGAACCATAGGTGTGTTTTTGGGAAAATAGATGGCCCTGGCAGTTGATTGAGCCACCAAGAAAACCAGGGCCCTCTATTTCAAACCAAATCAACCAAACAGGACACCTATGAATGGAACCTTACAACCGCACACACAAACACGTTCCCCGGCCCATGCTAAAACCCCAACAAGGCAACAGCCGGCATGCCATACCTGGCCACTGGTGCGAGTCTGCTCTCAGGCGGCTTTCGCGACTTCCAAGGGGAAACTTGGTATTGGGATGGATTCATCGTGGATGGCCATTGGCAAGCGTGCTCAGCAACCAAATGAGGCTTGTTCATTGTCCTACTGCAGATTGGCAGTTGTCATAGAGCTTGGAGTTTCTCGTACATTCAGATTGCATCAACAAAAACCATCAGTAACCTCTATAGGGTGGGAATTCATGTTGAACCCAGATTAACAAACCCCTGTTGATTAACATGGGGGGTGTTCCCCTCCAAACGAGATGAATCCCCACTAAACCCTTTAATAAACAGGGGTTTGTTAATCCGGGGTCAACTTTACTGGTCTGACATAATTCTGGTGTAGCCACATGGCCGAAACTAGCCATGGCTTGCTTGCATATGAGCAACGGTCTACATTCAACGTCATTTACTGTGACCAAGGTAGCGACATTGGGTACACTCACCAAATCATCTTTGGGAAATGGGGGGGGCGGGGTCACGGAAATCCTGCGAGCCCCCCAATGTGCCTCCCAAATGGACCATTGGGGGACCTAGATGATGGTAAGGATCCGAACGCGGTGGATGATCATCCCAAAGTTAACCCCAAGTAAAGGAGCGGGTCTTTTGACCACGGCACATGCCGTGGATGGATGAACGAACTCCATTTCCCAGCTTTCCGAACCCCTGGTTTCGGATGATTCCCAATGGAAGTACCACCAATGGTTGCAACCCATGGATTCAAAGGTGTGAAATGGATTTGGTCCACCCAGCGTGTCCTTTTGGCAACCTAGATGGCCCTGGTAAATGGGGCATAAAAACCAAACTGAACAATGCCATCTTCTAACCGAAGCGCTGCGAAATTTTCGGCTCTGGCTCAAAATTAAACGATCGGAGGGCAAACCGCGGGTTTTGGTCCATGTTTCCACTTTCAAAGGTTCCATTTTGGTACTATTTTTTGTTGCTCAGTTGTTCAATGACCCTGGAAAAAAAGGGAACCCTTTTTTGGGCTTAGACCATTTTAGTGGGGCAGCCACCAAAAAAGAAGTTGGAAAAATAATTGGAGCCACTGAACAACTCAGTTTGACCCACAGCCAAATGGATTTCGCAACCATCCACATCACCGTGACTGACTCCCCCGCCTCGCCAAAGCCCAGGGCTAACAAAGACCCCAGCCTGAAGCTGGCACATGCCCCCCAACCCCAACCGGAGGGGGAGGGGTCTTCTCATGTCTTCCCCATACTGATGGACAAAATCCATCCAACGCACCGCCTAAGAAACCTGGTGTTTGATGATTCCTCTGTAAATACCAACAAACAATGGTTTCAACCATGGTTCAAAGTGGTGCAGGATTTTGTCCATCCACAGTAGGGAAACGGGTTGCCAATGGCGATCGGATCTGGGCTCGAAATCCAATTCCCCTCCACCAATTCTATATTTAAGGAGGTGGGGATGCTGCCAACCCCAAGGGACTTGGTCCTTTAAGAGGATCCAGGCAAGCCACTATGGTAGGTAACCTGGTATTTTTTACCGCTAGGTTTTGCCATTGATGTTCTGTTGGTTCCCAACCATGGTAACTGAAAGCACCGGGGTACACCAAAAAGCATATCTATGTCTCTTCCTTAGCCAAGCCCAAACTGCTACAAGCAACTAGGTCCGCCAGTAGAGAGGTCAGAATAAGGGTACCCTTTGTTTCTGTAGTCTATTTAGTAGGGGAACCCTCCCCCCAAAACGGGGAGAGAAGGGCACTGGGGGACCTGGAGCCCTGGAATCGGAGACCGATTCAACATGGGTTGTTGGACTGGGTTGTCGGTGGCCAACGCCACATGTCGCGCCATGGACTGCCATAGGTGGGTTTGACGGAGTAGCTTTCATGGTGGGGTGTGTAATGTTGACCCCGTAGTAATCAACCAACGTTTATTAACGGGGGTGTCCCTGGGTTTAGTGGGATCATCTCTTTTGGAGGGGAACATCCCCCTATTTATAAACTGGGGTTGACCAATATGGGGTCAACATTTATGTTCTGAAGGAAGGGGACGGCTATAAAACTGCGGGGAATCCCATGACGGATGTTCCGTGCGTGGGCCTCATTTGGGCCAGTAAACCAATTTGGTTCGGCAAACTCGGGTCCCAAAAAAACGCGATCGTAAGCGGTTAGTATCCTGGGCTACCTGGCGGTTACCTACTTAAACCCGGTAGCTCTAACCGGACGAAAACTAACCACTCACTAATTTGCCCAATCCCATGAAGGGACTTGGAGTACGTGGTGTGCTTGCAAGTGGGACTCCGGCCGGAGTCAAGGACCTAAAGTCGTGGTTAATGACTAAACATACCCCATCCAAATGCTCGTTTTTGCAGGTAGGGACCCACAAATGAAAGTTTAACATTTGGGGCCGAGATTCAAAATGGGCCAAAGTGGGTAAACCAAAAGATCAAATTGTCATTGATGTTGAAAGCAAGGCTCAACCCTATGTTTGGATGGTTCTAAGGAACACCACGTGGGGCAAACTTTTTGATAGGAACCTCTTTGATTGGGTCCACGAAAGAGGTCATAGCCCGGCAAGGTAGGGTTCATGCCAGGCTTCGCATTGGATGCTTACGCAAATGACCCCAGCCTTGGAGAGTCTATGGCTCCGACAAAAGGTTTTTGACATAAGTGACCTTTTGAGATGGCATTGGTAAATGCTTACAACCGCGAACCCAGTGGAACCCATCTATATTTCAAACAAACTCACCTAAACCTAAACCAGTGTGTTTCGTTTTTTTTGGGGGGGAGGAGGGGCTATTCTCCGGGGGCAGGGACAATTTGTCAGCGCTCGAAGCGAGCGAAGTGCTCCGAGGCCGGCGCTTGATAATGGTCTTCTCCAGGATCACCGTCTCCATGGGCTCAGTGGCCTCCGTCCTGGCAAGTCGAGTTCCGAATTCCGAATTCCGAGTCGAGTCGAAAACGTTAGCCACGGGGGAAACAATCTGAGTCGGTGTGCCCTGTTTAGCACCTACTCCAAATTCCCATCCCTTTTTCAGGTGGTACTTTTTGAGGAGAATTTGGCTCGACACCTTTTTTTAGTCAGGGGCCGTACCCCCTACTGTTGCGGACAAGCAAATAAAATACGATAACCTTCGTCCTCCTGAAAAAAAAACGTAGTTTCCGCCTTTGACTGGATATTCGGGAAATCGTAGCACTTTTTGCCGCAAAAACCTGAAACTCCTAAAACTCCTAAAAACAGACTATTCCAATGCTCGCGGCCTTTGACAGAGTAAACGAAGGTTTGCAGGGGCAAACGACTGAATGAAGCCCGCAAGTTTGTCAAAACATGCAACGGCATTCCAAAGTTGTGCGGTGCAGAAAAACCGTACCCATTTTGACCGCAAAACGCCCGCAAATTTCCGCAAAACTCCCGCAAATTTCCGCAAAACTCCCGCAAAAACCCGCAAACTCCCGCAAATCAGAAAAAGTCGTAGTTTTGATGATCAAGGCATCCCATGGTGTTCACTGGCACGTTGGCAAGTGCTGCGAGGTGCATTTACTTTGTATGGCCAATGCCCGACTGGAAACGACGCAATTCGTATGTGTTTTTGCCCAAATTGTAGCTAAACCACTGGAATTCGTTAAATCGTAGGGGTCTCCTAAAACACCCAGAAATTTCCCGGAGTTTGAAGGTCCAGGTCATGTTGTGTTTTGTAACTCCGGGGGATATTCTAACTGCAATCAAGCCAAAATATTCTAATTGCAACGCAATGTGAAATCCATTTTGACCTTTTTCTTCGTGGTATTTGTTGGAGAATCGGTTTTTTCTTGGTAAATACCTCCTTTTTAGTCAGGGGTTGGCATCCTGCCCTGTCACACCCTGCAAATAGTGGACATCGGGTGTATCTGACCAAAGAGGGAAACCAAGAACAGGGGGAAAAATGGAACCCACCCACTGGGTGTGCGGGTGTCGAGTCGGTTCGGAACTCCTTGTTTCCCACCCCTGCATCTCCAACGTTTCGCTGGTAGATATTGCAGAAAGCTGTGACGTCTGACAAAGCAAATTCATGCGAATTCACTCCGTAACTGTGGGGCTATACCCCATACAAGGATATTTTGGGGGTCCAGGAACATGTTTAGAGCGCTTCGGTGTCGGCCGGGGGGGGGGGGGTTGAGACTAGGTCCTCCAGTAGAGAGGTTAAAACTGAGGGAAACCAACTTTTTCAGCACGTCTATTTTAGAAGGGGAACCGAATCTCCCAACCAAAGAAGTTGGGCAAAAGTTGGCATCCAGCTAAGGGACATAGGAGAAAACTCCGAGGCGACCCTGGCACTCCATTTCTCCTCGAAACCAAAGGCGCCCCAACGCTTCGGACGGAACCGCAGCTTCGTTCTCCGCAACGAACCTTCCGGTCCGATTTGGCTAAAACGGGCGTGGCTCAAATGTCGAAGAGCTAGGACAAACTTAGAGGTGGTCTTCTTTCTATTTACCAAGGTGCCATTTGTCTAAGATAGGCTCTACCCCCAAACCACTGGCTAATTAAATCCTGGGGGTAGGGGAATTCGGGCACCATGTTTTGACCCACAGCCAAATTCTTCGCTCGGAAATCATACGTCTCTTGGCTGATCCTCCAAAAGGAGGCAGGCGCAGCGATCGGACGGGAGAGTCCGAGGACGAATCTCCCAGTTGGCGAGTCAATCCACATGCCAAATGGATGTGCCTTTTGTAGTGTCCGCCCAAAATGGTAGTTTTTCTTCTGGCTCCCCTTTAAAACCAACCAAAAGGGTACCTCAAACAAACACACACCCACATGGTCCATCCTTCCACCCAATCTCAAACGCTGTGTTGAGTTTCTGTCTCCTCCAAATCAGGGAAAACAAGCGTTACACTTCTTGTACCATCAACTTGGTCTTCCCAGAAGTCTCCCCAAAAAACGTTCAGATTTGGCGGAGATTGGGGGGGGGGGGGGTGGTTCTCAAAATATGGCAATTAACTTGTGTTCCTGTTGTTTTCCTTTCCAACTAAAAGCGCTAAAAGGCTAAAAAGACTAAAAGCGATTCGGGATTTGAGCTCAACAACCAGCCAGGTGAGACAGCGTCTCACATGAAGGGCCGGAGTGCCTCCACGCCTGAGGATCTGGGCGGACGTTGCTTGTTCGTAGACAAATTCCCGTGGCAGGGGGGGGTAATTCTCCAAAAAAGTTGTGGGGTATGGAGGTTATGGGCGGGGTTGCAACGCGGAAATCTCCAGAAATTGTACTTCCCCCAAAAAATGTGGGGTTAGTTCTCACCTTGCCAAATAGGATACTTACCCACTTGCCAAGTGGGCTGGTCAGAGTCTGAATGGGTGAGGAAAACCGGGGAGAACCCAGTCCAAAGGCCTGCCAGGGGAAGGCGCGTCTGAAGGGGGCACTAGCAACAACTAGGTCCTCCAGTAGAGAGGTTAGAATCAGGGTACCCTTTTTCTGTCTATCTTAGTACGGGAACTCTCCCCTAAAAAAGAAAGGGTAAACTGGCACTGGGGGACCTAGACAAGCGCAAACTGACTGGTGAATAACCCATTGTAAGGCCCGGCGAGAAAAAGGCACCCAAGGAGTATTTGCAGCTCGTGATTGCCATGCGTTCTGGCCATCACCTCGAGCGAGGTGTTCCTAGCCCTCGGAGGCCGCCCTGGAAGCCGACGTCCGGAAGCGTCAGTGAAGACCTTCTGGATGATCGTGTGACAAAACCTTCTGGTGCGTCTGGGTCTTCTGAAGCTCAGTTCAGTGACCCTGGAAAAAAGAAGAAGAATTGGAACCCTTTTTTGGGGCTTGGACCATTCTAGTGGGGCAGCCACCAAAAAACAAGTTGGACAAATATTTGGAGCCACTGAACAACTGAGGAAGGGGTCCATGGGGCCAAATCCAAAAAAAAAAAACACCAGCTGGAATTGGGTGGTTTAACCAATATGGACACTTCTTGTGCTGGGCTGCCCGTTCTCAGATCCCCCTGCTAAACGTGACTAGCTTTTAGTTGGTTAAATGGACATCCACCACTAAACCCACCTAAAATCTCAAAAGCTAAGGAACCGGATGGCTGGGAGCCACCAACATGGCCATGGGTCAAAATGTCAAAATCCAAATCGTACCCCCAGTGAACATCCAATGCAACCACTAAAATACCGCCTACCCCAAAATGGTACCATTGGATTTGTTTGACCCACCGCCAACATGTCTTCTTGTAGTGACGGTAAACTGTTGAGTTAGTGTCGCAAACCTCCTTTCACTTCTCTCCCTAACACCAGCCATTCTAGTGCCATCGTGCACCTCTACTTCTTCCAGGTTGAAAGGGAAATTTTCAGGAACACCAAGACCTGTTCAAGGGTCAAGTACCGTGTTAAATGGGGTTGAAGTAGCTTCTTAAGACAGTTAACTATAGGGAAAAGGTCGTTTGGAAGAAAAAACATAAAATGCTCTCGTCATGACTTGCTCTGCCCCAAGGGACCAGAAGCAAGTCTCGGCAGCCTGTTGGAACCCAACCAAAAGGTCAAGAGATCTGTTCGCTGAGAACCTCCATTGCTGAAGCCCCCTCTTTTGGATAAACGGAGGTTTCCAGTGACATTGATTCCCTCTAAAACCAGCAGGGAATACCAAAAAATATTGATTCCTGCAAATGGAAGAGTCAGGTTTTGGCGTACCCCACAACCCCCATAACATCCCATAACCCTTTCCCTTCCAAGCCAAGTCTGGCAGCCCTGAGGATTTCGAGACACTTCGCCTCAAGGAACTGCTCCGAGTAACTCACTGCCCCCCCCGAGAAAAACATGAACATAAATGTCTGAGGGTTGATTCCGATTCCATTCTTTTCAACCATCATTCTTTTCCAAAACCGGATCTGTTTCCCCTGGGGTTCTGATGGTTTTCTGAAAAGAAGGATCCCGGGAAAGAATGAGGAAGTGTCCCCTAGAAAATTGGGTGACCCTAAACCTGAGTGGATTGGTCAGAAAAAAGTCGGAACTTGTTGTTTGCCACCAACATGGTCTTCCCAAAAGGTACAAAATCTGAGAACTCAGGGAGTGAGGATACCTGTCCTTTGCTGCAAGCTGGAAACCATTTTTGCCTAGAACCGGCTTAGAGTCCCCTGACCAACAGGTTGAGATTTTGGGACCAGAAGAAATTGGGGACTTGACATTGACACTAACTATCGACCAACGTATCTGGAACTAAAAGGTCAACCCTTGGAGTCGTGACTAAATATGAACCAACACAGGGAAAAAACCAAACAGGTTACAAGCATAGGTGGCCTTTTGGAAAAATAGATGGCCCTGGTACATGGAAGAAACCCCACCTAAACCAGTGCCATCTACTTTTAATCAAACTAACCTAAAAAGCACACCTACGGTTCCAAGGTGAAATTTGCCTTCCTTGCTGAAACCTTGGACTCGCTGGGCATTCCATTCGACTTCCGCATTTCCGCGCGGGCATTTTTCGCGCGTGACTCGGCCCGGCACAGGAGACCAGCGTGTGGTAGTCACACTTCCCCCCCGCGATGGCCTTCTCGAGGCCGAGAGGGCGCGAGGCCGCGAGGCAACGGCGAGAGGGGAGCCCCAAAGCGCACCCCCCCAAAAAAAAATCGGCGGTGTCCCAAATCGGCGTCCCTTTAAACCAGACCCAAACAAGGGTACCCTGCAAAAACTCTCGAGACGTCCCTTTGGCCGTCTGAACCACAGGGGCCCATGTGGGCATTGCGTTAGGTGGATATCTGAGGAGTGGGAATCGCAGGACCTCAGGGGTGGCTAGCAAGTGGTTGGTAACCCCGGTTGGGATTTCGTCCCTGACTCAATTCGCTTCCACGTGTATAGGGTAGATCCTAGGACACTTACTAAGGCCTACTTACCACTTAGGCGGGCCGGATTGGACACAACATATTCACCGCAGGGTCATGGTTTACTTTGAATTCATCTAAAACCCAATCCCAAAGGGAACAGAACCGGTTAGAGTGCTTTTGCTATCCTACCATCTCGAAAACACCTGGATAACTCAGGGCTTGCCCGCATAGTCACCAACTCTTCGGTGGCTTCCCCTACGGATCCAGTTACGTGGTTTTGCGGGGAACTAGGGGTTGTCCACTCTGTACCTCCATTTGCCGAAAAACAAACCGCAAAATCCAAAAATATCGCCAGCTGTGTTGGTTTCCCTTTAAGACAGAGGGAAATCAAACATGTTATTATACGCAAATGGAAGTGTAAAACCACACAAAAGGCAAACACGTCGAAGGGAATTTGTTCCAAGGGCTCGCCGGGGTTTGGGCCTTCTGTGAGGCAGTAGCCGCGCTGCGCTAGCGAGCGGGTTGAACGATCTATAGAGGGAGTGTGGTTTTGGGAGTCATTAGCGGGTCTTTCTCTGTGTGGCTTAAGAAGAAGAACAAGCAACACCGCCGCTTTTGGGGTCTAGCACCCTTTGGCAGAGATATCCATATTCACCGCTAGCTGCTTGGTACCTTGCCACGTGTTTTTTGCCCTAGCGGGCGCCATTCGGAACCTACTTTGAAAACTGCGCCGGGGCCGATGTCGGTGGACGCCCAGGATTACAGTCACTCCATGTCCCTGGTTTTTGCAGGTCACCCAGACCAGCCTTAGAACCAAAAGGAACATGGCTGGTTGCCGACTTTTTTTTTCGAGGGGTTGATTCCTTGTCCATTCTTTCCAACCATCTTATTTTTCTCAAAAACCGGATCTGTTTCTTTGATGGTTTCCTGAAAAGAATCGGATCCCTGGGTTAAGCATGGAATTGGAAGGTACCCCTAGATATACAGGTTGCTGGGATCCGCTGGGGCAAGTCTTCGAACAAGGGCTCAGTTGTTCAGTGACCCTGAAAAAAAAAGGGAACCATTTTTTGGGGCTTGGACCATTTTAGTGGGGAAGCCACCAAAAAAAAAGGGAAACATAATTGGAGCCACTGAACAACTGAGAGGGAGCCCGACTCCGAATTTACAGGAATTTACCGCATGAAACGTGCTGCGGTTTGGTGGCTGGTCCAACTTGCAATACGGCAGGGGCACCCACCGGATTCACCCGGAGAACCGAACTCAGTTTCTCGTGTGAGACCCGTCATCCATCGCACGCATGCTTTGGTCGCTAAAGTCCGAAGGGGGTTCGTCCCGGTTTCCCGGTCGAACAGAAACATGGGCTAAACCGACCTGTGGGATGTCCATGGTATAAAACAAGAGCCACCTTTTGACTGGGCGATTTCGAAGGGAAAGCCTCTTCAAAAGAAACGGAAAAACGGGCACCCTTGGGTCTGGGAAAAGATCATGACTAGAGATAAGGGGTCGGTGGCATAGGCAAAATCAAACGCCGCCTTCTCGTCGTTGAAGCGCTTGTTGTCTCGAGACATTTTGAAGCACAGCCAGCCTGCAACGCTCAGGCAGAGTCCCAACGGCCCCTAGGGCCAGGTTGCTTTTTGGAACAAGGACATGGTCACGCAATCTCCGATTTGCGGCAGGGTTCTTCGATGGGTTGTACATGCTGCGGGCGAAACTGACTTCGCACCACCCAACGGCAGGTCACAAATGCCTCAAAATGGGAAAACCCGCGCAATGGGGCATGTCCTTCAGGTTGAGGGTACGCCCAGGTCGAAGGTTACTTTCTTGGGGGGAAAAAAACGGATACACAAAGAAACATACATGATGACGAGTCATATGTAGTCAACCTTACCAAAAACATCTGGGTGTGGCTCAATGTACCCAAATGGCACCTGGGTAAATGAAACCAAAGACCGAAGCCTGCGTAGCCCTGGCTCCTTAATTTTGAGCCACACAAAAACATTGAGGAGACCCAGGGTTAACGGTTGTGCCAAAGTGACAAACACAAAAATGGGACACGTCCTAGGTGGATTGGCCAGAAAAGGTTTAACTTGGTGTTGACCACTAAACTTGGCTGGAAAAATCGGACCCCAGCGAAAAAAACAACATGTTTTGCCTGGTTAGTGGAAAACAACGGGGACCCCAAAAAAGCAAAACAACCAAAAGGGGAGCTAATTCTGGGGAAGTAACATGGCCTTCCCCAAGAGCCCCCGGTGCATTCCGGAAACCTCGGAACCCCAGCCCTGTGGATCCACCCCTCGGATACCGAAACACATCGAGGACTAAAAGTAACGACTAAAACAAGGACCCAACAGGCGGAAGAACTGGTGTGAGGCCCGCAAAACGCTGCATCTTACATGTTCTTAAGCCCTCTGGAAAATATGAGCACAGCTTTCTACTAGTGAAATCGAT